CGCTGTAAGCCCAAGACTGGGGGTGGGCCTCCGTATCATCATCATCATCATTTAATGACCCCATAATCCCTTGTGGGGTGGAGTCTGGGCAACTGAAAGGAGCTGAGTGTTTACTGGCCGGATGCCCTTCCTGTCGCCAATGAGGAGTTATATTCAGCAGATATACATTCTCATTGTGCCCAGAGAGAGAAATATCTGCTTCTACCTAGGATCAAACTCACAGCCTCATGATTGTGAGGCGAAAACTCCACCTCTAGGCCACCGCACCACTCGGTGGGCTTCCATACCATGTTAGGTCCTAAAACCAGACACACCACCTTATGGGTTAACATAATGACCTCTTTGCCTGTTTACACTGTATTCATGTCAACAGCTGAACTACAAGCAAACCCTTAGCCTAGTCAAGTGTATTGTGTGAACCTCTCAGGCTGAGGAGGAGAGAAGCACAGAAGGATATATATATATATATATAGCCTACGGTCAAAACACACTCCAGGTTCTTGCTGAGCAACAAGTGGCAGGTGCAGGTTCTATGCAGTGACTCTTGAACCATCCTTGCCCAGTGTTGTGGTTCGCAGGTGCGGATGGCTGAGGTCTTGGAGAGCGAGGACTCGGATGAGGGGCCTGCGTGTGATACAGGGATGGGGCCAGGACCATCAGGGAGTGGAATGCTGCCTTCGGAGCTTGTGGAGGCTGGCAGCAGTGATGAAGAGGCCCCTGAGTCGCCTGTGCCAAGTGTGCACAGGGCTGCTCAAAAGAAAGAGCAACTGCAGCAACACAGGCGACTCAGGAGTAAGGCTGCAAGGGAATGGCCCTTCCCTTAAGAGATAAAAGCCAGCTGAGAAACCGGAGTTCTTTGCAGGAAGCAAAGAAGTTTTTGCACTCAAGCTTTGTGGAAGTTCAGAATATCTTGGTTGGTGTTTGGGGACCCTTTGTGTTTGAAATATTTCTTAGTAACTTTATCTAGTGTTCTTGGCAGCCTTGCACAACCTTGGCAAGGCTTGTTCTTATAGGAGACCATTAGTTTGAAACAGCCTTTTAACCAGGAATGAATGGAATTCGTAAAGAATCATTAAAAGGTTTTGCTGTTACCTCCGCTTTGTGTTTGTTTTCTTGGAACAAAGTTTGGGTCAGAACAAGTATGATCCACACTCTTAATACAGAAAATCCTGAAAATGGAAATAGAAATGAAATCAGAACTTTTCCTTTTGGGCCTAATGGAAAAAGAACTGGAGAAAAAAATTGGAACTTCATTATTATATATGTTGACAGGAGCAAGATTATTGTATGGACAAAAAATGGAAGGAAACTTTGATTCCTACCATGGACGAATGACTGGACCAGTTGATGGAGTTGGCGGAAATGGCAAAACTGACCACTTTGATTAAAGAAAAGAATGTAAGTACTTTTGTTTCCCCATGGAAACCATTTCTGAACTTCACGCTTACATGTGAATGTAAATTTGCCTTTGGGTTTTACAGATTAGACTGATAGATCTTTAAAGAAGAGACTTGCTCATATTATTATGGAAAAACAAAAAAGTTGTGATTTGATGTCAATGCCTTATTCTACTCTAAAAGAGTCAGAAATCAATGCTTTTCTTTTCTCTACCTTTCCTCACTTCTCTTTCCCCTTTCCCTCCCCACCTCACTGGTCTTTTATTTACTTTTGTATTTTGCATTTTCTAACACTTTATCACTGAATAAAAAATGTTTAAAATAAAATAATCTTCCACCCGTTACTTCTTGCGATGCCCTCAGGTGCTTCAGATAACAAGTGTCAGGATTCCAGCGATCCCCCTAATTAAATCATGAGCCTTGAGCCAAACTTCAAAAAACTTCAAAAAATTCATTAGAGGCAACATACTGGCATGACCTGTATGAAGCCGATTCTGGCATACATAATGTGTGTCATGCATCAGTTTCTCCAATTAAGCACGTACACAGTCTAGGTCGGGGTGGGATTCAAATTTTTTAACAACTGGTTCTGTAGGCGTGGCTAGATGGGCGTGGCCATGTGACTGGGTGGACATGGCTTCTTTTTTTGCTCCCCACCCCATTTTTTGGGCCTTTTGGGACTCAGGGAAGCCTCCCGGGGGGCATTTTTTCTCTCAGAAGGCTTCCCTGGGGCTCAGGAAGGAAAAAAAAATGAAGCCAGGAGTGATGGTGGTGCTGCGCCCATCCATTTTTTGCCTTCCTGGGCCTCAAGGAAGCCTCCTGGGTGAAGCAGTAAGACAGCGAGGGGAATCTTGGCACAGCTAATCATAGGAACAGCTGATCGTCGGGAGGGGAAAAAACCCTTAAGGAGTGACTGGGCGGGGAAGAACGCAGTCAGCGATGTCGGGCATGCATGATAAGGACTGACTGGGCGTGGAAGGGCAGGCAGGCAGGGAGGGCAGGCAGAGAGGGGCGGGGCCAGCCAGGGGCACGATTTGCCAGTTCTCCGAATTGCACAGAATCATAACAACCGGTTCTATACAACCGGTCTGAACCGGTAGAATCCCACCCCTGGACTAGGTGTCATCCATCACATTCTCCAATTAAAGTTTTTTTTTGCAGGCATAAGCTTCAGTCAGCGGACTCCCCTCTTCTCTGTACGAGCCCAAGTACCGGTAGGCTGCTATTGGTCCTTCTGTTGGTTAGATGGGCTGACCTGGATTAGGATTCCTTGAAAAGGAGGCATTGAGGACAAAAAGGGCTGAACTTCCGCTAAGATGCCAGCTATACCCATGGCATCATTTCTCTCCCGGAGAAGGAAGAATAGAAATTGGCTTCGCTGAGAGGGACAAGTGTCCCTGACTGTGGGGATCTGGCATCCTATCTCTGGCCTACAGTACGGGAAAGGCTGGCTCCTCCGCAAGGCGTGCCAGACTTCCCCAGAAGAGGACCCAACAAGAGCGGCCCAAGATTTAAGGCAGATGAAACAGAGCAAGAGGCAAGCATGGTTTCAGCTAACGCATCTCTACGGACAGCTTTCTTCCCCATTCCACGGCTGCCCCTCCCCCCATTTCTGTGCCCCCTTTCACCGCTTTCCTTTCAAGACCCACAGCTGCCTGGCTGGTGAAGCTTCTGTGCCCCCTCAAGGCTGGGCTGGTTTGGGGAAATGAGGACAAGTGGGGGAAGGAAGGGGGTTTGGACCTACAGGCAGAAGAAGCATTCACATCAAGGGGTTAGGTGGAAACAGTAAACTTGGTTTATTGAAAAATATCGATTACACTTATTCCTTTATTACACAGGTTCAATTTTTTCTCTCTCTTAAAAATACCTCTCACGGGCATCGATAGGTTGGAGTTTGGAAACCTGTTCAAATAGAGTCACCTGATCATACACAAGTGTGTGTGTGTGTGTGTGTGTGTGTCATACCCACACATCCTCACTTCAAAGGGGGAGGGGGCTCTATGTATTTAAATCTTTGTTTTCATACTTTTTTATCAACATTTGTTCAAGTCATGATATATATATTAGGGGATAAAATTACACAGAAAGATATGTCTGCAAATACAAGAAGCAAATTTTATTGCAATATACGGTAACTAAGTGTTCTGGGAGGGGAGGAAAAAAATGGAACAGGAATGAAAGACACAACAGTACAGTTTTACAACATTCTGTAGGATTTTGATAGAAGCACCAAAAGAGGAAGGAAGGAAGGAAGGGAGGGAGGGAGGGAGGGAGGGAGGGAGAGAAGGGAAGGAAGGAAGAAAGGATGGAAGGAAAGAAGAAAGGAGGGAGGGAAGGAGGGAAGGAAAGGAAGGGAGATGAAATAATCAGATCAGAATCACATGACCAAAGAGAGCGTGTCTTGGCTCTCCACCCCCAGATGGTGATTCCCCCCAAATTCCCCAAGGAAGGGAAAGAGCACCATGAATATTGTGCCAAGGTTGGAGGATGAGGTGCAGGGCAGCTTCTGAACCGTTGACTTTCAGGGAATTCTTCTGGAGGGATGCTCCAGTTTAGGATCTCCAGCTCAGTGATCCTTGAAGAGGCTTGTCCCCTGGAATAAATCTGTCAGGGGTGGGACAGATCATTGCTGTCTGCCAATGAAGAGTGGGAGCCTGGTTACGGGGAAGGTTTCCCACCCCTTTCAAGAGATTGGCCAAACAGGGCTGTTCAAGAGGCAACGAGGGCCGTGGCAGTTTTCAATCAGAAACAGGTCATTTCCTGGCCTATGAAGAACTCCAAGCAATATCTTGACCACCACTCTCAGAGGTTTCTACTCGGTGGGAAAGGAAGGCAGGAGTGGGGTAATGGCCCCTAATAATGGCAGAAGGAAGCTCAGCTGGCCCAGCAGGGGAGTCTACAGATGAAGATAGATGCTGGCTAGTTACTCTCACACCTGGAAATTCCCTGGGTCAGGAACGCCATGGGAAAAGACATCTCACAAAGGCTCCCATTCAGTTCACAGCAGTGCCCTTCCCCTTGGCCCCGAGGCTGCAGCCCAGGCATGGGGTGCTCTTTCCCTTTCTACGCATGGGAGCAGTGAGCCGGAGAGGGGGTGGGGGTGATGGCTGCAAGCCCCCCACTGGAGAAAGACACACACAATTGCACTGTTCAGTTTTGCTCTGGAAAGACAGAGGAGGGGAGTGGTAGAGACAGATCAAGTCTGGCCTTGGCTTCAGTACATTGAATAAAGTCATAAATTAGCACCACAAACATTCAGCAACTGAGTACAAATCTGGCATGTTTACCCTGGTAGAGGCGTTGCATGAATAGCCTATTGCTACCGAAGAAAAATCCAGACCTCCAGAACAGTTGAATTAACTCGCTCATCAGACCCATCAATGACAGGCTGATGGCTCACATGATACAAGGTCATGAAGGGACAGGGAGGGGACAGGTGGTGTATCACCGGGATGAAATGAGGGGAGAGCTGGGAGGGACCCCTGGTAGGGCTCAGCCAGGGTTGTCTGGAAGGTTCCTCCGACAGCTATAGCACCAACAAAATGGAATAAAGATAAGAGAACATTTTTTTTTGGGGGGGGGGGGGGGGGGAGATTTTCTTGGTAAAAGATATTTTTTAAAAAACCTCTACATTGCACTAGGTAAAGCCTGAAGAAGGGGTGTGTGAGGGAGCTGGCCATAAATCTTTATTGCTTGTCTTTGGCGCAAAGATGGCAGCTGTTTTCCTTTGTCTAGAGACACGCCTGCCTCAGTTCCCCCAAAGTTCAGCAATGCTCAATTTTAATCCCATTGGCTTGGGTGCCTGTAAGGCTGAGGCATATCACTCCTAAGGAGATGGGGGGGGGGGGCTGCGGAAACCTGCTTCCTGAGTCTGGGGGGAGCACACGGTTCCCTGCTGATTCCTACTTTGGTCTTAGCGAAGGCGTCGGATGCTGGGGACAAGTTGGCTGCCCTGTGGTGCACGGGCAACTCACATGCATGCTTTGAACCCAGAAACATTTAATATTTAATATAATAATATACAAATATTTACTTACAAAATACAAAAATAGAAGCACCTTTATCATATTGGGATAAGCAGTCAGAACCTGGCACTTTTAACGGTCTCGGTTCCCGGTGTTTCTCCTGCGAACTAAAGAGGAACCGAACCAGAGGAACGTCTCTTGGCGGGTGGGCCCCCCCGAGATCCATCTAGGTTCTGAGAAAAACCCCAGCAGAGAAGAGAATCCAAGCAAGGAGGGGGGTTTCGAGAGTCCTTCGTCCATGTTTCTGTACAGAGGTCAGGCTGCATCGCCCGGCTGATGGCTTTCAATGGTGTCTGGGGACTCTCCAGTGACGGGAAATTGGTGATCACTGGACAGTTTCCCCTCAGATGCGGAGAAGTGGCTGAAAGGAAGGAAGGCAGGAAGGCAAAGGCGGCAGGAGTGGCATCTTTCCTGCTGGAAATGTTCTGGTTTCGAGGAAAAGGCAACACATGGAAGCGTGAGAGTGGAGCCCTTTGGCGGTCTCCATGAAGAGGCGCAGCAAAGGAGGAAAAGGCTTGCTCTGGCCAGTCGGAGAGCCCCTCGGTCATGTGATTCTGGAGACGGTTGGGGAGCAGGGTCCGGATTTTGACTGGGGTTGGAGGAAGGGGAGAGGGGAAGAGTCTTGCGGCAAAATTGATGTCGGGGTAAACAGGAGAGCGGTTTTTTTAAAAAGAACAAACCCATCAAACTGTCCCGTTTCAGAACGTGCACGGGGTGGCCCACAAACGGCAATGACGAAAAAGAGGAAGTAGCCAAAAAGAGAAGGCACAATGAGGTTACGAAGTTGCCCTTTTGGAGAGAGTCTTCTGAAGCGGCCCTCAGCCCAGGAAGCACGCTGGTCCCACCTCGAATCCGAACTTCTGAGACGCTTCGCCGAAGTCGTTGAACATGATGTCGACAATGGGGACCTGCTCTACCTTGGGGGTGCTGATTTCCAAGACCGTCTTCTGGTAGCCCTTTTTTGCCTGCAGAGGAAGAAGGCAGGACAAGTGGCCGTTTAGGGGTACAGATTCCATTCCTTTCCTTTCCTTCCCCTTCCATCTGTCCTTTCCTTTCCCTTTTCCCTTTCTCCCTTTCCTTTCCTTTCCCATTCCTTTCCTTTCTCTTTTCCCTTTCTCCTTTCCCTTCCTACGTTTCTTTCCCTTCCTTTCCTTTCTCTTTCCTCTTTCCCTTTCTCCTTTCCTTCCTTTCCTTTCTCTTTTCCCTCTTTCCTTCCTTTCCTTTCCTTTCCCTTCCCTTCATTTCCTTTCTCTTTTCCTTTTCTCCCTTTCCCTTTTCTTTTCCCTTTCTACTTTCCCTTCCTCCTTTCCTTTCCTTTCCCTTCCTTTCCTTCTTTCCATTTTATTTTATCTTATTATTTTATTTGCTCTCCATTACATTTTCTTACTCCTCCTGCTGCTTGAATAGCCAAGCACGTTGTTGTTTGACAGCAGGAAATTTATGCTGAGTTAGAATTTTTTAAAAACAAAACACAACAAAATCCTGGCTTGGGTTGAATGTGCAGCCTGCTGCAAACCATGGCTCCTGCCAACTCTGGGATGGCGAAGCTGGTCGGTTTGGGTATCTTTCAATCTTTTTTTTTGGGGGGGGGGGCATATCAAGTTTGCTCTCCTGTAACTTGGATTTTTTTTTTAAAAAAAAAATTCCCATTAAGGTTTATATCTTTTTGTTCATATTTCTAAAATATATACATTTTGTTCAAAATACTGCCTAATGCACACTGCTTTTGCCAAAGGTTTTCCTTGACATAAGGCATTTTTGTACAAGTGTATGAATCTATGTATGACTTTTTGTATAGCTGGAGGTCTCTCCCTCCCTCCCTCTCTCTCTCTCTCTCTCTTTCTCCCATCTCCCTCCCTCTTCCCCTGTCTCTCCCTCCCTCTTTCCCCTCCCCCTCCCTCCCTCTCTCTGGTCTAAAAAGATTTTGCAGGTAGTCTCCAAAAGGTGCTCCATCTTTACTCATGGACAAACCCCATTACAAACTTTTGGGAGGTGAATTCTGCATTTCCACTGAAGTATTAATTTTGATTAATACTGTTAATACTATAAGTTATGAAAACCTTCCATCTTTTTCTCCAAACGGTAGGATGGGAGGGGACCTCAGAGGTCTTTAGTCCACCCCTTTTCCCCAAGGCAAAAGACCTCAGGCCTTCCTTTGAGACCTTCCATCCGTGGAGACCCCTCAATTCTCACGGTCAGGAGATTCCTTCTACTCTCAACTTCAGATCTCTCCCTGCTGCGAAACCTCTTGGCTCTTGGGATCTACCCACTCCTTTTTCCCCCTGTGACTGCTTTCGAGGGCTGGAAGACGCTTGCCCTGTGTCTAACTTTCCCTTCTATAGGCTAAACAAACCCAGTTCTTGAATAAGAAGGGCACATATAATTGTCACTCTTGTATAGGATGCTGCTCAGGCCAAGGTCTCTGATTCCTGGTCTAGAGAACCTGAAAAGCTAAAAACCTTGGTTTGTTCTGAGATCCTGTGGTTTCTTAGCACAGGTACCCATCAGAAACTCCTGGCCTCACCACTTTGACGGTGCCCTATATATATATATATATATATTTCCTCTCCTCCTACCCCTCAAATTGTGGATCCTTCATTCAACCACCCAAAGGCTCTAATCACTCTAATCTCTATTAGTGGAAGAAGAATGTAACGTTTTCTCCGTAAAATCAGATTTTTACGGGAGAAATCCAGTGCTGATTGCTGCACTCAATTAATTCTGGTTACTGACCACAATAAATGTATTATTATAGTCCACTTAATTAAACTCTTTTTGTTGATAGCTAATATAGGCAGTAATAATTATTTTTAGACATTAGAGTGGTGCGGTGGCCTAGAGGCGGAGCCCTCGCCTCACAATCAGGAGGCTGTGAGTTCGATCCTAGACAGAGGCAGATATTTCTCTCTCTGGGCACACTGAGAATATATCTGCTGAATATAACTCCGCATTGGTGACAGGAAAGGCATCCGGCCAGTAAATACTCAGCTCCATTCAGTTGCCCAGACTGAATGCAAGGAATCATGGGGACATTAAATGATGATTAGTCAAAAAATAATCTATTCCCTCTTATTTTTTGCCCTCCCCTTCTCAATCACGCCCATGAAAAGGAGGTCCTACTGTCAACATGGACAGCCTAGGAGGTTGCCAACCCCCTCCCCCTGAACGAAGGGTCTCTCCTTTCTGCAATCACTACTCACTGCACAGCCATCGAAGACCGCCCTGATGAAAGGGCTGTTGTCGTATGACATCTCTTCATCATTGGAGCCCAGGAAGCGCATGGCCTTCTCATAGTTGTCCACCGTGGCGTCATGCCACGCCACAGACTGGAAGCAGTTGTAGGTGATGTTTTGGTGAGCGGATGCACTTAGGAGCCTCAGGAAGGTCATCTGTACCACTCCAATGGGGTTGCTGTCAGCATCCACGTAGGAGAGCTAAGGGGAAGTGGAAAAGGAGACAAGGAAGAAGCGGACCAGGTAGGCTGGGCAAGAAATGGCGGGCAGGCAAGAGGGAAGCCATTCGGCAGGAAGTTTACACCCAAGTGCCACAAAGTGTGTCATGGTATTCTTGGACACCCCTTGAGGGATGGTCAGAGATAATTCTTTACAGTTACGTTTGAAAAAGCAGTTTCTGACAAATAAATGGGATTTGAGTTTCAGGCTGGGCAAATCCTAGAAATGAGAAATAGGTCTCATTTCTCCAACATGCAGGAGGTAGGAAGTAATTTAAAAAACCTTCAATTGGCAGGATAACCAAGAGTGGAATTATAAAAGGATCATTACATAGAGATATAAGAATTGGAACAGTCAGAAAAGACTCAAGAACTTGAAACACTGCATTAACCGTAGACATTCTCAGCCATGTTGGAATTTTGCATTTTTCCTGCATGGATTTATCTGAAAATCTTCCCTGTGTGTTTGTGTCAGAGATGAGGTCACCCAAGGCATCTGATGCTCACTTTATATCTTGGAATTGCATGCCAAAGTTAAACAACTTCCAGACAAGACGCTGGTGTTCATTGGATAGTGTGGGAAAGGACTGAGTGGGCTAGAAGGGAATGGGGCCATGCCTACACATGCCCAGAATCAGTCAATTTCACACACACACACACAACACACACATACACAGAGTGATAAAAAGAAACAAAGGTTTTACCAACCAGTTATTTGGACTCCGGTCCATGATCGTCTCGAGAGAGATCAAAATGACTGACCGAGGCAAGCAGAAGCATGCTAGACAAGCTAAAAGAGCAACCAGGAACTAGAAGATGGCAGTGGATTATCCTGCATCAAGACCTGTTCACAAGAGACTTACAGATGGCAACTGACTCTTCCATTATTTAAAACGTATGTAATGTGAATTTAGAGCAGTGAGGATGGACTGGCAGAACATCTTCCATGCTTGGAACCACAGAAAGATTCCTTCCTTCCTTCCTTCCTTCCAAGGCTGAACAGGTCTCTTTTGAAAAAAAAAAATCTCTTTTGTTTAAAAAAATAAAAGTATTACTAACTCTTACACTAGTCTCATCATCTCCTAAATTCTTCTGATGCAGAAAGATTGTCCTGTAAAAGCAACTTATTCCAATTAGAAGTGGAGTGGCCATCTGACTGACACAGCATTAATTCAGTTCAGAGGCCGCCCAGCACCAATTAGACTCTGGGCAGAACACTTCGTTGGAAGAAGAAATGTCAGATAAAATTCCTGAGGGGCTCCACCCCATCTTTGGCTTAGGGAACAACCAGGTTTTTAGCACCTTTTGATGCTCAGGAGAGGAGCCAAGCCCTGGTGCCAACTTGTAAAACATTCCTACACTTGTTTCCAAGTTGCCATAAGAAAGAGGGGGTAGCGGGGGGAGGAAGACTGGAGAAGCAGACGGCAAATGAACTTAGAAGCCCATTCCAATCTTATCTTTAGAAAGATTGTAGCTAAGCTACTGGAGCTTTTGCCCGAGAAAAACTTTGATTGGAGAACGTGATGGAGGACACATATGCGCTTAATTGGAGAAACTTATTTATGACACACCAAGGGGGGAAGGGGGAGCAGGGTCACAGGTGACTGTAGTTATGTATGCCAGAATCAGCTCCATACAGGTCATGCCAGTATGTCGCTGCTAATAAATTCTTAGAAGTTTTTTTGAAGTTTGGTTCTAGGCTCACGATTTAATTAGGGCAATCGCTGGAATCTTGACAAGGAGGCTGTTCCGTTCACAGCAACCAAGATGGCGCCCTTCCTGGGCCTGGATTACAGCTCCTCCAACTGTTTTTCCAGGATGGGCAGGGACTATCAGCCATGGGGGTCCCTCAGAACTAGATCACATCTCTTGAGCGGTGACCCCAACGCCTTAAAGCCAAATGGCTGCAACTGCAGCTGGCACAGCAGTGGTGACAGGAGGACATATTGATGCATTTCTACCCACTGCCTTCTGGTCCAGCTGCACCTCTGATCATCTTCAAGCAGAGGGCCCATGTGGAACTCAGTGCAGTAGTCCATTGGTGAAACGCTAGGTCATTTTTTACGATATCATTTGGTAAAATGCCCTTTGAACTTGGGAAGAGATTAAGAGATCTCCAAATATCTTACCACATATTTTTACCTCAAGGAATATTGTGTGTGTGTGTGTGTGTGTGTGTGTGTGTTGTGTGTGATTCAACTACTTCTAGGAATTACATATGCAAATTAAACTGATGTTTATCAACAATGTTTAGTTAACCAGTCAATTAAATTGATTTTTTTTTCATGAAAAAGCTACCTTTCTGAAAACCCTTCTCTCTCTGCCATGCACACAACCCCAGTGCACCCACATTTAACAGATTTGGAAATCTGTTTTTGGAGATGGTGCCTAATTTGCATTTATTATGGAAATAATTAATATTTCATACTGGAGCTTCATACTGGAGGTGTTGGACTAATTAAAACTTAATCCCATCTCCCCTCCCTGTGTGTCCAGCTCCCTCCTTTGCCATCTGCTGTTAATGATTTTATTTGTTAATTATTTTATCGGCTGCGTTTCTAGGAGTGATGGATATAAATGTTTTTTAATGCTTTAGTGCTGTAAGCCATTCAGGATCGTTGGATATGAGATGGGCAGCAAATAGATTTCATAAATAAGTAAATTTTTAGAATTTTTAAAAAATGCTAATTGGAACCATGAAGGTTAATCAATCCTATATCATTCAGTGTGTGAATGAGGGAACCAGATCTTACCTCCAAAAAGTTAGCTGACAGTTAAGGGTTGGCCGTTCTTCTTAAGAACGTTTCAAGCCAAGCCAACAGAGCAACAGGCCCTTCCAAGGACTCGCGGTGAAGACTTTACGATGGAAACCATCTGACATTCAAACCAGAGTGAGCTCAAACAGGTGTTTGAAGCCCGTGAGATGCTAAAAGGAGCTCTGCAGGTCTTCTGGGGGAGGGGAAAATAGCATGAGAGAGATAAAACCCCAAATCCACCATCTGAGATCCAGAACTGCAAATGGCCTTTAAAGGCCCTGGGACCACATCCAGAGCTGGTCCCCAAATCAAAACGCCATATTATCTTAATGGGTAAGCTAAATGGGTAATCACAACAATATATTGAGCCACGGTGGCACAGTGGTTAGAATGCAGTACTGCAGGCTCCTTCTGCTGACTGCTGGCTGGCTTCAATTTGGCAGTTCGAATCTCACCAGGCTCAAGGCTGGACTCAGCCTTCCATCCTTCCAAGGGAGGTAAAAAGAGGAGCCAGATTGTTGGGGGCCATAGGTTGACTCTGTAAACCGCTTAGAGAGGGCTGTGAAAACCCTGTGAAGCGATATATAAGTCTAAGGGCTATTGCTATAAACCAAAGGGAATATTAGGATTAATTTTCATTTTCTGTCATCTAATGCATCAGAGGAATTTGGTAGGAGTTTTCTTAAGAATGGTGAAACCTCTCAAATAGCTCCGGAATTCCCACTGCAGGAGCAAATGTGATACAGTTGCCGTTGGAAATCTTCTAATTCCTGGTGGCTCATTGCCAGTTCAAGAAACAATCCTGACAACCAGAAAAATAATGAGAGCAAGAAAATAAGAGGGAAGGCAAAATCTGAGGTGACGAGCAAAAACCAGCTGCTTGCATATAAAATCCTTCCCCCACAACAAAATGATTTGCCCAAGACCCGTGGGGTTGGCCAGCCAGACCCAGAGTGGACCTGACGTCTCCAGTTAGTACAGTGTGGTGAGTCTGGGAACATGCATGGGCTCCTTTGCGCAGAGAAGAAGCTCTTGACACGTCCTGTCAGGTGGCAGTATTGCCTAGCTGGAAAAGCTTTTGTGCACCTCATTCAGGAGGACTTCATGGACAGTCATGCTGACTGCAGACAGAAGAGTAAGATGTGCGTGTGTGAGTGTGTGTGTGTGTATATATATATATAGAAATTAAAATAAAATGAAAACTGCGTAAAGTGTATTTCAAGAGGTCCTGGAAAGCTGTCACTGTCGCCGTTTAGAACTAATAAATGAATTCCCTTGCTCGAGAGGAAGACCCAGGCACGGGAACATCATCGGGAATAACTGTGACGGAGCTTCAACAACTTCAGAATCTTGCACTGCTCTTCTTGAAGTATGCTCCCAAACGTCTACCCACATGTCCCTCACAAAGAGAGGACCTTTCACATGCCTAACCTTCATCTGAAACTGTTTTGCAGCCAGCCTTCCAGATGATGGAATATGGAATTGCGGAATATGAAATTCAAACAGAAACATTACTTTTTCCTTATTTTGATGTACTGAGACAATAACAAACTTTGCACAGGCACCTGAGTCAAGCTGGGAAGTTCTTTTCGGAACAATGAAAGCTGAGAGAAATGAATTTTACATCTTTTGTCACCTTCTTGACTTTTCTTGATCCCAACCACAAAAGACACGCAGCTGGTTTTCTCCCCGTGTTTCAGCCATGGCCCAACATTCAAGGCAAATGTTGCAGAGACTGTTATCACAATTCCGCCCTCTTCCCATCATTGAGGAAGATTCCCCTGTGCTTCTGTTGCTCTAATCAGCTGTGGCATCATCAGGGTATAGATTTTCCAAAGGTTCCTGTGATCTTGTTAACTCAGATCTGTGTTTGCTTCCAAAGTGAATTGGAAACTGGGGTTGAATTCCATTAGGTGCCAAGTGGGAATGGATTTCAGCAGAAAGAGGCAAACCTGTTGACTTCAGTTAGCCTAACTTTGAAAACGTTTCCGTTCCATTTTCTCAATTTTGGGAAACCTCCCATCTTTCCAGTTCAATAATTTTTAATGTAATGTTTTCAGTGCATTTTGGAGCATTTTTCTCCAAACAGAAATATTTTTATATGAAATTCTTATTAGAATTACATCTTCTTTCATAGTTTCTGTTAAGTAGTTCATTAATATAGTACCATTTATGTATATTGTCCTTTCCACGATTATTCATGTTCTTAATTATTTTTTCCTAAGTTGTGATTTCTGCCAGACAACTGGCAGAATTCCAGTTCTGAATCAAGTTCTGATTCAAACCCTTTCCTTTCCTTTCCTTTCCTTTCCTTTCAACAGATTAACAGAATTGGAAGGGACCTTATAGGTCATCTAGTCCAACCCCACACCCAAGCAGGAGACCCTACACCATTTCTGACAAATGGCAGCCCAATCTCTTCTTGAAAGTCTCAAGTGATGAAGCTCCCACAACTTCCGAAGGCAACTTCTGTTCCATTGGTTGATTGTCCTCACTGTCAGAAAATTTCTCCTTATTTCCAGGTTGAATCTCACCTTGATCAGTTTCCATCCATTCTTCCTTGTCTGGCCTTCGGGTGCTTTGAAAAATACCCTGGCCCCTTCCTCTCTCTGGCAGCCCCACAAATACTGGAAGGCTGCTCTCCTGTCTCCCCTGGTCCTTCTCTTCACTAGATTAGCCAGGCCCATTTCCTGCAACTGTTCATTGTATGTTTGAGCCTCCAGTCCCCTTATCATCCTGGTTGCTCTTCTCTGCAATCTTTCTAGAGTCTCAGCATTGTATTTATAATGTGGTGACCAAAACTGGATGCAGTACTCTAGATGTGGCCTTACTAAGGCTTTAAAGAGTGGTATTAGTACCTCGCTTGACCTTGATTGTATCCCTTCCCTTCCCTTTCTCCTGTCCTTTCTCCTTTCCTTTCCTGTCCTTTGTATCTACAAGAATCTCCCGATCAGGTCAGAGGACCAGCTTAACCTCAGAAAGACCAAGGAGATGTTGGTTGTGGTGAGGGCCCCAACGGAGCCTTCAAACGCCCTCGGCACTTGCTCCTCGGCCATCCTTGGACTCTTCTAGAGCTGCTCGTTAGTTCAGCTTACAGCGTGAAATTAGTTTTGGGCCAGATGTGGGAAGCGGACATGGCTGGCGTGCTCCAGGTGGAGAGCAGAGGGAGCCAGAAGCTTTGCCACTTACCAAAGACCCTCGCTTGTAGCTACTATACCAGGTGGCTGGCTGCTCTTTGGGCCAACGGGCCATTTTGCTCTGCAAAATATGAGAGGGGTTAAAGCCAAACAGAAAGCTGAAATTGGGTTCCTCTTACCAGTTTACCGCGCTTGAATTCACTGAACCAGGAGCCCGGGGTTTCCTTTGGCCATGAAGTAATTCTAGCCTGAAAATGGTGGAAGAGGCACGTTGGGGAAGAGAAGAACAGAGACAAGAAAAAAAAAGGAGAGTTAAAGTCTGGAATGAAAGATCCCCGCAGAAATCACTTGAGCCTTTCTTTTTAAGCAAACCCCCAAACTGACAATGCAACCCTAATCACTTTCTGGGGCCAGACATGTGGAAAGAGCACCCAGAAAGCCAACGGTATTTCCTGGAGCCTTGATGGTTGGTGGGGAGGAAACCAAGGAAGAAACGGGACTGCTAAGACCATCCTGGCAAGGATGAGGGGTTGACTCCTAACACCCTCCTCCTCTTTAAAAAGACTGTTCTGCTTCCAAGGAGAGATTCGCTTCCCTGGATGCTGATTAGTGTGTTCAAATATATGGCCATAATTGTGAAGTCTAGAATCTCTTATTCCTTGTTTCATTTCATGGTTGACCCAGGGCCATATCTGGCTTTGGACAGGTGAAATCTCCAGGGCATAATTGAGGAACTGGTGGCCCTCCAGAGGTTTTGTAGACCAACTCGCCCTCGCCTGAGCCAGAGGCCATTCTAGAAGGAGAAGCAGGAGGAGCTACTTTCATAATCAATAAATCCGTTGTCTTTATTCACTCTTGATTTGCCAAGAAAATGTTTATGGTTCTGGTGTCTAAACCCAACTGTCAATGTTCTAAGCTATATTAGGCTGAGCCTGGACTAACCTCTCTCCAATTTCTTTTCTTTACGGAAGTCCTTTTCAATTAACTGTCAACTCTGAAGCTGACCTGACTGAAGCCATCTTGACGGCTTCAGTGTTGCCACACTGGAGCTGAGGGATAGGGAGGGGGGAATAGAGATGGCCCAAGCAAAATACTTTCTCCTGGGAACCAAGAGAGTCCCACAGGTGGCCAGAGAAAGGAGGGGTGAAGTTACCAGGCAACCGAATGGTACCTTGATTGGATCATGTGACTGTTTGGGAAAGAGGGAAAACTTTTACTTTCATTAGATGAAAACCGTGGGAACCTTCAGAGTCGGTTTTCACCAGACTGTGCCAATATGAAATGTCCAATAAATCAATTATTTGAGGAACTTGTTTGCCTTGGAGACCTGTTTGTTGATGGAACCCTGACAGCTGGCCTCACTGAGGACATTTTCTATGCTTCAGTGTTGCCATCAACATGGTGCATGAATTTTAGGGCCACCTCTGAGCTACAGAAGTTATTCCATCCCTTTCCCATTAGTTCTAGTCAGCTTGGCCAATAATGAATGATAGAAGTGCTATCTAAAGGCCCATCCAATTTCACAGCATCGCATAGTATGCAAGAAGAATTCACCCAACATATCCAACAATTCCCAAAGGTCTGAGGCAGATCAACAGTCAACACTCATTGTCTTTCTTGAAAGCGTGTCTGCTGGCTTAATGGCCTGCTTCCATGAATCTCCAAAGAGTCCCAGATATTGTAGAAGGAGAGCTATGTCAGTCATGGTAGCCAAAAATCAGAAAAAAATCTGACTGTCAGCAGCTACCTCACATTTGCTTGTGCTGCACTGGCATGCGGTGACACTCTGCCATGAATTATAGAGAAGAGGGACGAAGGCAGAGCAGGTTTGGGAAACCGAAAGTAGGTGCTGTGCCGACTAGAGAAGCTGCTTCAAGGTCACCCAACTGGAAAGAGGAGGAAGGTGCAATGCAGAGGATGCTGGAACTGACCTTTAGGAAAACAGCTTGCAAGATTTTAATTGGTTACCTTTGGGTGGGAAACGAAAGACAGTTGAGAAAGGGAAAGGAGGGGAAAGTAGAACATAGGGATTTTTGGCACGCAAATCTCAGTTCTGGCTAAGGATTACTACAATACACTTGGTCTCTAATTAAAAAAATACAGCAGCTTTTCAGACTAACTGCTCAATTAAAAAGCATCCATTTTCATGAGCTGCCTCGGAGGAAGTCTCCTTAAAGTTGATGCCTTTTAAAGAAAGGTAGCAGCATGAGAAGGTAACCCCAAACTTCTGATTTGAATCCCAAGGATTTCTGGGAAGAGCAGATTGCTCCTCTCTAACTCTGCTTTTCCCAGGTCTTACCTGTGCATTTACATGTCTCTTTCTTGCTAAAGTTGTGCGTGTTTGTGTGCTGCCAAGAATGCAGTGACAGACAGGAACTCGGGGATCGGGAAGGCTGCGTGCTTAGAATGCAATGCTCCCTGGGCTGTTTAAGTGGGGAATGTTCTGGAACCTTCCACCAGGCATTCCAACCCACTTCCTGGTGGAATGCACAGGGGACATATCTATGCCCAAACCTAGCCTGAAAGAGCCGATGTGGGTTTGAGCTGCTTTCAAAAATGTTACAGGGTCTACGGAAAGAAAGAAGATTGACTCCTATAAACATCCCCAGACCTTTTAATACGGCTTTATGCTATTTGCAGGGGTTTCATGGAGCTTCCTTCACACTTGTACAAATAGTTTACATTTAAACACAAAAAAGCTGCATTTAGGGCAGTGGATAATTAGGAAAATAAATCTGACCTGGGAATAAACATATTTAATCACTAGAATAAATAAATAGACACCTATCTACACACTTAAACACACAACCATCTTTGGATCAACAGCTTAAAGAAGTGTAAAGTGGAAAATATTCTTAGGATAGGAGTGCTTTATGTTCACAGGAGTGAGCGTTGTTGTTGGTCCCACACATCTGGGGCCCTTCTCCCTCCTGGAAGCCTTTGTCCTGACTCTCGCATCCACTTTTTGTGGTCAAACTGCCACTGTTATGTGGATGGGTGAGTGGGTGGAGAAGGAGGTACAACCACAGGGATCTCATTTTCAGAGACACGGAGAAGTATCTGTGCCCAAAGAAGTGGACTGACTGGAAAAGGATGGGATTCGTTGGTCATCTAAGAGGTGGCGGCCAGCCAGAGGTCTTTGGGCCTCCAGGGGCCTCCAGAGGTCCCGGGGGGAGGGAGGTGTCTCAAGGCTGAGGACTCAGAAGAACTTCAGCCTCATCTCCAGAATCTATCTGGGGGGGAAAGGAAGGGTCTGGATGTATTTAGGGCCCTAAGAATCACAGGCCTTTCGTACCAAGAGGGTTAGGGTTAGGGTTAGATTGGATCCCAATCTGGATCAAGAGCAACACGGGACAATTTCTAACCCACCCAAAGCAGGAGGTCCAGAGGTAACTTTTGTCTCAGTGCAAGATCCTGTGTGAAATGCAGCCTTCAACTGATAGCTCCACCTGACTACTCACAACTACATCCCAAACAGGAAATAATAAATAATTAGCCAACTTGAAAAAAACTTGCTTAGTCCTTTGTTTCCCATTTTCCCTTTACAAGTTATGAAACATTTTAGAATAGAATAGAATAGAATAGAATAGAATAGAATAGAATAGAATAGAATAGGATAGGATAGGATAGAATAGGGCAGGAAAAGGAGTAGGAATGTAGAACAATAGAATAGAATAGAATCTAGAAGGGACTTTGGAGGTCTTCTAGTCCAGCCCTGTTCTCAAGCAGGAAAACCTATACCATTTCAGACAAGTGACTGTCCAGTCTCTTCTTAAAAACCTCCAGTTATGGAGTGCCCACACTTTCTGGTGGCAAGCAGTTCCACTGGTTAATTGTCCTCCCTGTTTGGAAGTTTCTCCTCAATTCCAGGTTGCTTCTCTCCTTGATCAGTTTCAAATCATAGTTTCTTATCCTGCCCTCCGGTGCTTTGGAAAATAATTTTTACCCCAACTCTTCCTTGTGGCAGCCCCTCAAATACTGGAATATTGCTAATGTCCCCCCGAGCCCTTCTTTTCTCTAAACTGGCCATACCCAAATCCTGCAACCATTCTTCACGTGTTTTAGCCTCCAGGCCTTTCATCATCTTAGTTGCTCTTCTCTGAACTTTTTCCAAAGTCTCAACGTCTTTTTTGTAGTATGGCGACCAAAATTGGTTGCAGTAGTCCAGGTGTGGCCTTACTAAGGTTTTGTAAAGTGGCATTAATACTTCACGTGATCTTGATTCTATGCCTCTGTTTATACAACCCAGGATTGTATTCGCTTTTTTGGCTGCTGGCTCCTATTTAAGTGATCATCCAAGCAAGGCCTCTCTCACAGTTACTGTTTTGGGGCCAGGTCTTGCCTAATCTGTACTTATACCTTAGATTTTTCCTGCCTAATTTTGTAGTGGTCTTATCTTTTTCACTAACTGAAAAACCATTTTCTTTTATGAAAAGGGGAAGTTAAACTCCTCTCCCTAGCCAAGGTTTGGCTCCCATTCACTGACAGAGGGGAAATATCATTTCTCACCAGTTCCTCTTATTCCATGCCTCTAACTTAGTTCCCAAAGTCTATGCAAATATTTCACATCTTTCTGCACATTTCTTTACATTAGATCCAAAACAAGAGTTACGAACATTTTAAAAAACTAAAATTGGGATGAAAAAAGGCATAAGTAGTTTGAAAACCTCTGCATTAATGGTATGGTGCATTTCATCCACTAACATCAATCCAGCTTTCCTGCAAATGTCATCATATTCTGAAGAAAATGCAGGGGAAAAAAGCAAGCAGTGACCACATTTAAAAGGGCAACATTTTGAAGGCAGGTTGCTGAAAAGCTGCTGCATCCACTTCTGATTTTTGCAAAACCTCCATCGCTTTTGCAACATTCTAAAGTTACTGTAAATTTCATCTTGGTAGGACAAAAACGAAAAAGCGAATCAGGAATGTGTTTCTAGTTTTCCTCTTGAATGAAATGGGGGAGGGAACTTCCGATCTGGAGATGGGTTTGGCATAGACCCCCCTCCCGTCCCACCCAAGTACAGTCAAAAGCAGACTGGGCTGCTTGCTAAATCTCTCTCTCTAACAGATTGAGTGGTCATTACAAGGCTCTCATTCAGACACGTTCATGTCCAATCTGCAAATTGCAGGGCACCCCGGAGGGAGTGAAAAGTGTGAATGGACGACAACCTCGGGGAGGACACATCTGCTCAACTTCCAACGCCAAGTTTTTCACTCCAACCGATGCACTTGACCTACCAATAATTTAGTACAGAGGGAATGACATGACATATTTGCACTTATGAATCTGCAGAAATGGACACATTTCAGCTTCTTTGTCAGCTTGTTAGCAATGCAAGTTGTTTTCAGAAGTCTATCAATAAACGGGAAACATTAAATGATGCGCAAGGCCGAAGTGAGAAGGTCAAAGGACAAAACGCAGCACCTGAATGAGAGTGTTCAGACATGTGAGAAGCAAGGATGGCTTGCAAGGAAGGAAAAGGATGGAGAATAGAATAGAGTAACAGAGTTGGAAGGGGCCTTGGAGGTCTTCTAGTCCAACCCGCTGCTTAGCCAGGAAACCCTATACCCGTGATGGCGAACCCATGGCACGCGTACCACAAAGCCACTTGTGATGGCACGTGAGCCACAGGCAAGCTTACCTCACTGCACATGCGCACGCCTCACAACTGTTTTTTTTCCAGGTGGTTTGAGGCCTTTTTCAGCCTCCCAGAGGCTTGGAAAAAGACTCTGCAAGGCTTCTCAGGAAGAATAGGCCCGTTTCGTCATTTCCTGTAATACCGGAAGTGACGAAAGGGGTCTATAATTCGGCCTGCAAAGCCTTGGAGAGGCTTTTTCCAAGCCTCTGGGAGGCCGAAAAAGGCCTCAAACCAGCCAAAAAATCAGCTGTGAGGTGCAGTGCAGGTAAGGGGGGGGAGGATTGCGTGTGCATGCGCAGGGGTGCGTGCATTGCATTCTGGGTGCTGGCGCATGCGTGCGTGCACATTGGTCTGTGCACAATTTTTGGCACAGGAGCCCGAAAAGGTTAACCACCACTGCCCTATACCATTTCAGACAAATGGTTTTCCAATCTCTTCTTTAAAACTTTCTGTGTTGGAGCATTTACAACTTCTGGAGACAAGTTGTGTCAGGAAATCTCTCCGTAGTTCCAGGTTGCTTCTCTCCTTGATCAGTTTCCATCTGTTGCTTCTTGTCCTGCCTTCTTGTGCTTTGGACAATAGCTCGACCCCCAACTCTTCTTTGGGGCAGCCCCTGAGATATCGGGACACTGCTATCCTGTCCCCCCTGGTCCTTCTTTTCACCAAACTGGACATACCCAATTCCAGCAATCGTCCTTTATATGTTTTAGCCTCCAGAAGGAATAGGGTTGCTGCTGAAGTAAACTAGATTTGTTCAATTTCATTTTCTTTGCTCTTTTTTCCCCTGCCTCTGATTCATAGAATCATAAAATCATTAAGGCCGGAAGGGACCTTGGAGATCTTCTAGTCCAACCCCCTGCCCAAAGCTGGAGTTCTCATCCCATCCTAGACAAATGGATGTCCAATCTCTTCTTTAAACACTACAGGGATGGAGCACACACAACTTCTGGAGGTGTCAGATCCGTGTATCTTCCATTGAAGAATGGCAGAAGAAGGGGGTGGTGGAGTTGGTACAAGTAATCCTTTTTTATGTTACCTGATCTGTATAACCTACACATGATATACAACAGGAGGACTGGAGCCAGATGGCTAGAAACTTGTCACCTCTTGCAGAGATAGCAAGTGGAGAAGGGACCATAAAAATTCCAGCTCCGGAAAACTTCCGGTTTGTCGGCTTCGCGAGCGGCAGGGATTTGCGATCCTGCGCGATCCCTGCCGCGCTAGCCGCTTTGATGCCTCCGATCTATTGATCTGGAGGCTAGGGCTGCCATGAAGAGGCAGCCCAAGATAGGAGGGATCCGGACAGGGGGTTGGGGTCTTCGCAGACCCCTTCCCCACCCGGCTTAACCCTCTTTCTCAAGGCGGTTGAGCGGCGGTCTGTAATGGCCTCCACAAAGAAGCTGACAGCTGGACAAGATCGTGCTGGAGGAAGAGAAAGTGCTGAAGCGAAAGTTTCTTGGCTGAACTGGACTATAAGATACAAGTAATATAAGTAATATCCTGAAAATTCGGATTTTTTGAAAGATACTTTGTTTCCAGAAGAGATTTACAAGCGGCGAGTGAAAGTGTTTTAAGAGAAAGTTTACTCTCCTTCCACATGGATTTAACAAATGGATATTGAAAATCCTGCTATTTTATAGAAGGTAAAAATTTAAAGCTTTCTGTTATAAGTGGGAAGGGAGAGGACAAAAAGAAAATTTTCATTAAGATTTTGCTGGAGGAAATGCCTGGAAGATTTCAAGATTGGAAGTTAATTGTAATGAGACTTTAAAATACAGATTGGGTTTTTTTTTTTCCCTTGCCAATTGATATTACCCCAGGAAGAAATAGTGTGAAGAACTTTGTGTTCTGTTTGGACTGTTTGATGACTGGGATTTTGGGGAATTGTTTTAAGTTTTGAATTACCATGGTTGTTTTAAAAAGAAGAAGAAGAGAAAAAAGAAGAAGAAAAGGTTTATAATGGCTTTATTTGTTGATGAACTGAGAGAGGATAAAAAAAAGAAGGTAAAGACGGTGTGAGAGAAATTTTTTGCTTTTTAGAAATGGCGCTTGCTACTTATCAACAAACACAGCAATTAATGGAGGATACAGAAGAAGAAGAAGAAGAAGAAGAAGAAGAAGAAGAAGAAGAAGAAGAAGAAGAAGAAGAAGAAGAAGAAGAAGAAGAAGCCATCTTTAATGAGTCTAAAAGGACATAAGACTTTAAAAAAAAACATCCAAGAAAGAGAAAAATAAGATGCAAAATCAATATACTGTTAGAAAGCAAAAGAAAAGAGAAATGCAACAGAGGTGGGGAGCGAAGGGGGGTAAAAAGACCAGATGGGATAAGATAGGAAGGAAGAAGGGGGGGAAAAGCCAAAAAGGTATGAAATAAGGTGTGGAGAAGAAATCTTTTTTTATGGATAATGGGTAATGCATAACTTTGTTTCAAAATGTTTCTGCAAGGTACATGATAGTATTGTAGTATTTGTATGAGAATTAGAAAATTAGAATTTTATAAGGCTTAAGTAAAGATTAAAATATTAAAGTTTTAATAATGATAGATTTTAAGATTTAATAAAATATTAAAAGGAATGTCTAAAACATTTAGTTTAAGTATAGAGTTTAATTGACTATTGTGTGGATGTTCGTACGAACTTATTATTATGGTATTTGTTTTTGAAATAGATAATTGGAAAGCTATGAGATTTAATGTTTAATTATATATTTAATTACTTTATGGATTTACTATTTTAGTAAGTAGAATGTACTAAGCAGAATTAGATAGGGAATTAGATGTTAATGTAGGGGAGCGATGGAAAGGCATCATACTTCGATTAGTGATTTCAGGAGAAATATTTTTTTTTCTAATATGAATGAGATAAACGGATAATTGAAAAGAATGGACAAAAGATACAAATACAATGATTTAAATTAAGATGAAATAAATAAAATAGAATTAAGAAGAGTGGAAAGCGGGGAGAAGTTATAATAAAGATAGAGAAGGGTAATAAGATAGGTAATGGCATATAAGTTGAACATGAATTTAATTGAAGTCCATACAAAGAGAGGTAATCCGGGGCCAAGCTACTTTTTAAAAAGAAGTTTTATGTTTTTGTGTTTTGTGTGTGTATGTCTGATTGAGATTTAATAAAACCTTGGGAGAAAGCGAGAGGAATATTTGTAAACAAGGCAGAGGGAAATATGAATATGATGAGTATAAAATGGATAAATATAGAAGAAATGTAATTGAATAAGAGTAAAGAGAAATAATGAGAAATTTGCCAAAAAAATATTTAAGTGGAAATGGGATATATTAGAATTGTATTGTATAAAACAATGTTTTATTTGCCTTGTAAAATTTATAATGGAAAGAGGTTCAATGTCTTTAATGTTTAATGATGCTTTGTGTGTCTGTAAAATTAATAAAATTTGTTTTTTTTTAAAAAAAAATTCCAGCTCCGGAAGATACTCCCTGGGAACTCTTCAAAAGATATGTTCTCAGAGAAGGGGAGCGGGGAATTAACATGTTGGTTCTTTGTTTGACAAAATACACATCTAAACAAGGGGAGGGGCCCTAACTCCCCTTATCTATTATTGCATACTTGGGAGCATTTAGACTTTACTTTGAATAGTGCTGGAATCATCATCTCATTTCAATAAAGGATTCCTTTTGAAACGTCCAGTTTTCAGAAGTTCATTCTTTTCGGTTGAAGGGGAAAAGTCCAATACTTGACCAGGAGGCAAGACATTCTGCTGATTAAGAGTTTTCACTGTCGGGAAATTCCTCCTTAGTCCTAGGTTGAATCTCTCCTTGATAATTCTTCCACCTGTTACTTCTTGTCCTGTCCTCGGGGGGGCTTTCTTTGGAGAATAGGCTGAGCCTCTGAGCCTTTTGCTCTTATGCTCGCTCCTTTTCCGTCTTTTCCTGATGGGAATCATGTCATTGAAAGCAAAGGAAAAGCAACATGCAAAATGTCCTCCAAAGGGACAGCAAAAAAGAGTTACTTACCCCCTCGGACTTCTTATCTGGGAAGATGCAAGTTTCTCCTCCAGCGGTAAAATTACAGTAAACTTTAAAGGAATCCCGGGAGCAGCCTTGATTCGGGTCTACCCAATATTCTCCTAGATTTGGGAGAAAAGCAGTGGCTAGAAATTATAAAGCCCAAATACGATCTTTGGCGTTGGCCCTTCAGAAAAGCTCCATCTCCAGCTTTTTCCAGAGGGCAGATGCCGAGAGATCATTTCTGGTCCCATCACTGAAAAACATTGCTTCTTTTCTTTCAGGAGGAATTGATCAAACTTCCTCCGCTTCTGAAATGCATGTTATTTCTCAATCTACCTTTCTTCTTTTTAAACACATGAGTGTTTCCAATTTAAAATACAAATATGAAGAATAGAATAGATAGACCTTCTACTACTGCACCATAGAGAATATCTTAACTTACTGCACCTGTGGGTGGTTTGCCAATTGCACGGTGGCAGATAGGACAGCATCCCAGACGGTTAATGTCATTGCCCAGAGGATCATTGGTTGCCCTCTCCCCTCTTTGGAAGAGCTTTATAGCTCCCGCTGCCTTAAGAAAGTTCAAAACATCCTCAAAGATCCATCTCATCCTGGGCACCCTTTTTTTTTAACTATGACCATCTGGCAGACGGTAAAGGACAATAAAAACAAGGACAAATAGGCTGAAAAACAGCTTCTATCCCAGGGCAGGAGCTCTGTTGAATTCTGCTGTATTGTGCAATATTAATGCAATATCAGGGGTTTTCAATTCAATGTATAGAATGTGAAGGATGTGTGTGTTTATTTTCAGTCATAATGTACATTGACGATGGTATTTAATTTTGTTGTACAAGGTGCAAAGACAATAAACTAAACTAGACTAGACTAAATAGAAGCTCCTTGGTGCCCGCTGAGCTTGGCTGTTTGCTTGCAGACATCTTGTTACCTGACCAAGCTATGTCATCAGTGCTGGTAAGTGTGGAGCTTGCTCCTTGTTCATACACAGTTGCTACCCCTGCCAGTTTCTTGATTAGGGCATTGTTTTCAGTCTGATTGTTTGCCCGATGTTGATCCCTGTTTGGACACTTTGTCGAGCTGCTTTCCATCCAACCACCCAGTTGATTGGAGCTCTGGGTCTGACCTAGCTGGGCAGTGCGTGTTGTTGTAGGCATTCACGCAGAAAGAACAAGTGGAGGGTGGCCTCCATGTCAATTTATCCCATTTGTGTGCTTTCTGAAGTGTTTGATATTCATAGGAGTTTCCAACAGTCAGGCTGAACTGTGTATAATTGAATCATCTTCTTTTAATGACCCCATAATCCCTTGCGGGGTGCAGTCTGGGCAATTGAATGGAGCCGAGTGTTTACTGGCTGGATGCCCTTCCTGTCACCAATGCCGAGTTTTATTCAGCAGATATACATTCTCATTGTGACCAGAGAGAGAAATATCTGCCTCTACCTAGGATCAAACTCACAGCCTCCCGACTGAGAGGTGAGAGCTCTACCTCTAGGCCACTGCACCCCTCAAACTGTGTACCGCTGAATACTGTATAAAAATATACCTCTGACACCAGTTGCACTGATGGTGTTCCCTAGTTGGGTAATGAGACGTCTGTAAGCAACAGCCAAGTTCAAAGAGCACGAAGGACTCCCAACTACTGCTGGCACAGATGCAGGGACTCCAATAGCTCCCCATCCTAATTTCCCGACTGTTCCTGTCCTACCTGCTCCCATTTTCTTCGACCTGGAGGTATAACGTAATTTTGGCGTGGTGACAAAGGGCACCATATGGAGGCAGAACTGAGGCTCAGCTCTTGGCATCTCCAGTTCGAAACACCATAAAGAGGCTGTCGGGAAACAGCTTTTCCCGCCTGAGACTTTGGGAGTCGCTGCCGGTCAGAGTAAGCTACATGGCTCAGGCAAATGTATCCTACACTCACAATATTCCCTGTGCCTCCAAGGCTCGAAATTTTGGGCCTGGACAGTCTAGAACTGCATTGCCCGCAGTTCAATCTAAGCATAGTTCACAAAATTGTCTGCTATAACATCTTGCCCATCGACGACTTCTTCAGCTTCAACCACAATAATACACGGGCAAACAACCGATGCAAACTCAAAGTAAACCGCTTCAAATTCCATTGCAGAAAATGCGACTTCAGCAACGGAGTGGTCAACACTTGGAATGGTCTACCCAACTCCGTGGTTACAGCCTCAACCCCTCACAGCTCCAACCTCAAACTGTCTACCGTGGACCTCCTCACCCCATTCCTAAGAGGTCCTCAAAGGGGGCGTGCATAAGCGCACCAGCGTGCCTACCGTCCCTGTCTTAGTGTCCTCATTTATCTGTATTTACTTCCTTTGCTCCTGTTTATGTTCATACCCATACTTGTTATCTTGTGTACTTGATTGACAAACAAATAAATAAAAAGGCAGCTTTCCCGATACCTTTAAATGAAAGATATCCAAAATCCACAGTTGGATTTAAACTATCAATTTTAAAGACCTAAATTCACGGATTCTAGTCTTAGAAGTGAATGTTAATGGACTGCAATGGTTGTTTTTTTTTTACTAGACATGTTGAATCTCTGGGGAGGCTCAGTCAGATTGGAGACAACCCAAGAAGGGACCAAAAGCAACAATGGAAAGTGCTTTGGATCACGAGATATCCCAACATTCGGGGACCAAAGGATGAGGCCGACTTCCCTCTGCAGTTCAGAAGGCTCATCTCCCTTGCATCTGCGGGAAGGAGCCCAGATTCCATTAGAACGTTTGGGGTCACATTGATTCACTTTAGAAGATGATTCTAGGCGGCGCAGAACAGAAACAGCCACAGAATCCAAAAAAGATTAAAAGAACAAAATGTGCTCTAGAAGAAAACGTGCAGCCACACCTAAAATTCCCAAATCCTAAAAAGGATTTGCCTTGAAGACTTTTGTTAGAAAGTCTGTCTGTCTGTCTGTCTGTGCTGTGCTGGCCACCTGCCTATGGATGGATGGCTCTATCTGTCCGTCTGTCTGTCCATCCATCCATCCATCTTCTGTCTATCTATCTATCTATCTATCTATCTATCTATCTATCTATCTATCTATCTATCTATCTATCTATCTATCTATGCTGGCCACCTGCTTATGGGTGGATGGATGGATAGATAAATAGATATCCATCCATCCATCCATCCATCCATCCATCTCAATTTGGATGCTACCTGATTCCAGTCAACTCTGACTTTCAAAGCCAGTCAGGGTGGGAGCCCCATGGAATTCTAGAATGAAAACCTAGAGCCCACCTGGATTAACTGTGTTTCTCTCATACCAACCATATTTACACAACTTTGTGACATTAGATTGAAGCCTTGGATCTAACTATCTGATCAATGAGACAGAATTGGAACATCTATGAACCTTTGAAAAGAAGATCGATTGCCCTTTTCTATTCCCCCTCCCCTTCCGATGGCTGCTGCCTACCATCTGGGAAGTCCGGGTGACAAAGCTGCAGGTCCTTGCAGGTCCGAGCTGGGTTCTGCTGGGTGCCCAAGGGGTGCTTCATCTGCTCGATTTCCAGTTTCAGAGAGTTCAAGGAGCCAAAGATCTCCTCCATGCCATCAGCATAGTCCACATAATTGTCAGAATTGACGTCATCCATCAGCTGGCTGGCATCAATGTTCCTCCGAGTCCGCTTGGAGGACTGGATGGGGAGAGGTTGGATTACTTCTCCTGGAGGACCCTGGATATGATGAGAGAAGAACAGGAATTTGGCTTGAGCAATGCCACACCAGAGAAGCAGACTCAAACTTGTGACAGCCGCAGCACTTACAGGAGGTCCTGGTAGGCCGGGGTGACCAGTTTCGCCCTTCGGACCCGTTGGCCCCTGGGAAGAAGAAGCAGAAAAGACATGGGCAGTGAAGGAGGTGCCACAGCACAATTGCAACCCACCAGGGCCCTTAAAGTAAGTCGCCCTAACCATTGTAATTCTCACCTTACAATATTTCCTTGTGGGTTTCAAGAAGACAAAAGTAGACAAATGTTTGGGAGAGCGGTCAAAAAAATTAAGAAGAGTTGAAATACTAAAAAGAACAAGAGATGATGGATAGATATAGAATACTTCTTAATATAGAAGTATTCATCTGTCATATGCACCTCTATAACTGTCTGGTTTGGCTCTGCAACCCAACAAGACAGACACAGAGTTCAGAGAGTAATTAGGACTGCAGAAAAAAACAATGGCTACCAACCTGCCTTCCATCGAGGACCTGTATGCTGCATGAGTCAAAAAGAGGGCTGTGAAAATATCTACAGACCCCTCACATCCTGGACATAAACTGTTTCAACTCCTTCCCTCAAAACGACGCTATAGAGCCCTGCACACCACAACAACTAGACACAAGGGGAGTTTTTACCCAGACGCCATCACCCTGCTAAACAAATAATTCCCTCAACACTGTTCAACTATTTACTAAGTCTGCATTACTATTACCTTCTCATCACTCCTTATCGCCCATCCCTTCCCACTTGTGATTGTATGAGTGTAACCTTGTTGATTGTATCCTTATTATCTATATTGACTGTTTCCTAGCATGATTTGATTGCTTATTGCATCCTATGACTATAATTAAGTGCTGTACCTGATGATTCTTGACTCTTGATGAATGTATCTTTTCTTTTATGTACACTGAGAGCATTTGCACCAAGACAAATTCCTTGTGTGTCCAATCACACTTGGCCAATACATAATTCTATCTGTCTTCTATCTATCTATAGGATTTGCTTGATTAAGAATTAGAAAATAGAGGTAAAAGTTAGAAATTGGGGAAATATGACTATGTACATTGCTATATAATATATTACAATTACCATGTAGAGGTAAATGTTACAAGCTGAAAGATTTTTATCAGCTATACCTGAATAGCATTATTATTGCTATTAGTATTTTGTATAAAGTAAACTGATCATTATCATTACTATAATTATTTTAGTTATCATTAATATCAGAATTAATATTAATATTTTGTAAACCTAAAATGACTCAGACACATACACTGTTCATTAAGCACACATGCATATTTCAGGGGAAAATGTATAAATAAGATAAAAAAAAAAGTGGAAGGGATGTTGGTTCAAGAAGCAAGAGGTTGTCTCCTTGAAACCCAAATGGACATTTTAAGGTGAGAATTGCAATCTGTAGTGGCCTCTGCCATGGCTGCATCTCACCTATCTAAGCTTTATGAGATGACAGCCAGACATTAGCAGGGGACTGGAGGGAAGGATTGGAATGTGAAGAAAGGGGGAGAATGGAAGGTCATTGATGATATGGGGAGAACTGAGCACCTGTTACCTGTTTCCTGAATGATATACAAGCACCTGATTGGAGCTTTGCAGATAACTGGGAGATGGCGGGGGGGGGGGAGGACAGGCACACAGGTGCACAGGCCCATCCCATCCTGGTGTGCACACCTGCGCCTGCTGCCTCCTGTGCACAGGTGAGCACACCGGGATTGGGTGGGCCTGGCCAGTGTGCACCCACCACCTCCTGTGCGCACATGTGCCTGCTGGGATTGGGTGGGACTGGCCAAAGTGATGCAGGATGGCCCCTTACCATTTCCATTTGGGGGGGCAGTAAACCCCCATTTTTGGGGCCTCCTGGGCCTCAGGGAAGCCTCCTGCAGGGACCATTTTTGCTCCCGGGGGCTGGGGAGGGGAAAAAAGGGGGGGGGGGGGGGGGGGCACGCAGCACCCCTCCATTTTTTGCCTTCATGGGCCTCAGGGAAGCCTCCTGGGCAAAGCAGTAAGACAGCGAGGGGGATCCTGGCACAGCTGATCATCGGAACAGCTGATCGTCGGGAAGGCGGCAAAAGGAAATACCTTAAGGAGTGACTGGGCGGGAAAGAACGCAGTCAGCGATGTCGGGCATGCACGCAATGTTGTGCATTCGCGATCAGGACTGACTGGGTGGGGAGGGGAGGGGCCAGCCAGGGGCGCGATTTGCCAGTTCTCCAAACTGCGCTGAATCGTAACAACCGGTTCCATAGAACCGGTCTGAACTGGTAGAATCCCACCCCTGATCTCAGGGTAATCAAAGGAGCACCATTTTGGAGGGGGAGATGTGGATGATGGGAGGGACAAAGACATGAAGGAAGCTGGGAAGACAGGAAAGGGGCAGAGAGCTTCTCTTCCACCCCCACGGGATCGTGTGGACTGCAAGACTACGATTAACAGCAATAAAACAATTTTCCTCCTTTGATAGATTTGATACTTGTACTTACGGAAGATCCTTTAGCACCTTTTGGACCGGGGGGCCCCTAGTTGAAAGACAGAAGAGCTCGTTAGCAAAGCGTCCATTAAAAATAACCAAGTAGCCCATAACCGAGGCCGGGTGCTGATTAGCAGAATGAAAGTTGTCACAAGTGGTACACTAATTAATGTGTTCAGCACGTCAGTCTGAGGCTGAAACAGCCATTTCTTTTGTGCGCTCACAGTTCTAATTATACTTCAGAATAAACATATTTATCTTTCTGAAATCACTAAAATGTCAAGTTACGTTCTATTATTCTGCAGTACTGCAGGCCACTTCTGCTGACTGCCGGCTGCCAGATATTTGGCAATTCGAATCTCACCAGCTCAAGATTCAGACTCAGCCTTCCGTCCTTCCAAGGTGGGTCAAATGAGGACCCAGATTGTTGGGGGCAAGAGGCTGATTCTGTACACCGCTTAGAGAGAGCTGGAAAGCAATGTGAAGCAGTATATAAGTCTAAGGGCTATTGCTATCTCTATCTATCTATCGATCGATCGATCAATCGATCTATCAACTGTGGTGGCGCAGTGGTTAGAATGCAGTATTGCAGGCTAATTCTGCCGACTGCCAGCAGTTTGATTCTCACTGGCTCAAGGTCGACTCAGCCTTCCATCCTTCCCAGGTGAGTAAAAGGAGGACCCAGATAGTTGGGGGCAAAAGGCCGACTCTCTAAACCGCTTAGAGAGGGCTGTAAAAGCACTGTGAAGTGGTACATAAGTCAAAGGGCTACTGCTATTATATCGAAGGCAGGGGGAAACTACGTGTTCATTTAGTGGATCCAAATCTCAGCCTCTTTGCTACTCACCGGCAACCCTGGAGGCCCAGGTGGACCAAGAGGGCCACTTGGTCCTTGAATACCCTTGAAGAAGGAGATGAAGAAGAAAATCAGTGCTTGCAATTCCTTTGTAATCCCCAGCTTTCCAATTCAGAAGTTTCAGCCCCATCTTCCCCCTTAAGATTTGGCAACCAAGAAGGACCAAGGGATTTTGCAGCCATGCCCTCCATGTTCTACCTGTTCTCCTTTAGTCCCCGATCCACCTTGAGGCCCTGGCAGTCCCCGGTCTCCCTTTTCTCCTTGCTCGCCGGGAGGCCCAATGAGACCGATCAGTCCAGGATGACCCTAGAAAAGGCAACGGACGCATTGCAAAGGCTCTGTGTGCCAGGATGAGAGAAGCCAGGCTGTGGCCGAGAACGGCAATCCCCAGCTGGCTTCAGGAATCCTCTTCCCAGGTCGGGATGATCATCTCGAGAGTTTAAGCCAGGTGTGCTTCAAATTCACAGGCTCGTTTGGAGGTGAATTTTTGCCTAGATTCTGCACTGCAGAAAACTCACCTTTTCTCCCTTTGGACCCGAATCCCCTTTCAGGCCAGGTAAACCAGGTGGACCCTGTGGAGAGAATGACAAGGATGGGTACTAAAAATCAGGCATCTTGTTCAGCCACCTTTTGGGGGGGGTTTTGTTTTTGTTTAGATTTAGGGGAGCCAAATTAATTTGGGAAAGGAAAAGTGAGTTTGGACCGAGGTTAACACATGTCTAATTTCGAGTCTTCGCTGCTGAAGGGTGGCCACCTTCAAACTGCCACCTCCAAGGGGAACCACATGAAGGTAAGGGCTCTGTTGGAAGGGAGGGATTGGCCAGCCAAGATGGCCTGTGGAGGAAAGAGATTGCTTTGGATCTGGGGCTGCAGCCACACACCCCATCCTGCTACCCCCCTTGAGATGTAGATCTTCGGGCTTGAACCAGGAGAGCTAAAGGGGTGGGGGAGGGGATGGGGCCAAACTTTGCTTTCAGCCCCACGGCAGGTAAAGCACAATTCCCCAAAATGTCAGACATACCATCGGGCCAGGAGGTCCGTCTGGGCCTGGTGATCCCGGAAGCCCTTGCTCGCCCTAGAAAACAATGGACACCTTTAGCTCTTATGGAACATAGTAGGAGAAACGAGGACGCGGTGGCTCAGGGGCTAAGATGCTGAGCTTGTCAATCAGAAAGGTCGGCAGTTTGGCGGTTCGTATCCCTAGCGCCGTGTCATGGAGTGAGCTCCCGTTCCTTGTCCCAGCTTCTGCCAACCTAGCAGTTCGAAAGCATGTAAAAAATGCAAGTAGACAAATAGGGACCCCTTTGGTGGGAAGGGAACAGCGTTCCGTGCGCCTTCTTTGGCGTTTAGTCATGCCGGCCACATGACCACGGAGACGTCTTTGGACAGCGTCTTTGTAATGGAGATGAGCACTGCTGCCTAGAGCTGGAAACGACTAGCACTTATGTGCGAAGGAAACCTTCACCTTTACCTAGTAGGATAAACAGATAACTAAGGTGGGCGATACTCGTACATCTCCCACATTCTAGAAGAATCAACCAAGGCATGGAGAGTGGAGTTTTTAGGTTACATTTCCACCCCACATATTTTGTTTCAAAGAGACTGGTAACCATCCTCATCACCAGGATCAATACAGTATTCGCTGTCTCACCTGTGAGATACAATATAATTGTCAACCCTGAAGCTGACCTGTCCGGAGCCATCTTGGAGCTTTGATTGGGCCATGTGACTGATTGTTTGGGGTTGAAGGGATTTTTTTTACTTTTAACTAGGTGAAAACTGAAGGGCCCCTCTGAGTCGGTTTTCACCAGATATGTGCCAATATGATATCTCCAATAAAGCTATTCTTTGAGGAATCCACCTGCCTCGGAGTTTTTGCTTGCAACAGATCTATCACTTGGAACCTTGACAATAATAAGTTATAATATTCCATAATATAGCTTATTATTTTAAAGCCACACTACTACATATCCAAAGCACCGCCATGTTGTTCACCCAATGTGTGAACGCTGACATGCATAGCTTCTGGCTTGAGATATGTAGTACCAGGTATTGCACTGTACAGGTAAACAAGAGAAGTGATAAGGGAATACCAAAGAGGTGATAGGAATGTAGAAAAATATGCTGAGATCTGTAACTGGTGTGGTCTCTCTCTTGCTTACAAATACACGAAGGCAGAAGCGTGTCCACCCCAAGGATAAAACGCCCAGACACAAACTGAGCAATATGGTATATGCAGTACAATGCAGTGAGCCATGTGCAGATCTGTACATTGGGGAAACAGAACAACCACTTCACAAACGCATGGCGCAACCTAGGAGAACAAACCCATCAGGGACTAGATTCAGCAGTCCACCTGCATTTAAAAGACGAAGGCCGCTCTTTTAAAGACAGCAAAGTCCACAGTTTGGACAGAGAGGAACACTGGGATGAAAGAGGGGTCCAAGAGGCCATTTATGTCCAAATTGAACAGCCCTCTCTCTCAACAGAGGGGGAGGGAGACAACATCAGCTATCTCCAGTCTACAACTCAGTCTTTTCAGCAGTTCCAAGGAGGCTCCACATCCATCTGCACCACTCAGATGACCCCTGAGGACACAGATAAAACCCCAGGTGGCCTCAATGACCCTCTCAAAGGATGCAAATTACCAGCTGTCTGCAAGGAGTATCAATCCTTCCCTTCCCCACTATTTGGTCCGAGCTAAAGAAGCTTCTTGGATAAGAAGTGAAAGGTCTTCAAAGAAAAAACAGAAAGTCCAGTTGCCTCTTGGAAAAAGCACCTTTGGGTCTTACTCTTGATTGTACACTTGGAGATCCACCAGCTTTTGCAAAAGTTTTTGCAAATAAAACATTTTGTTCTTTCCAACAATTTTGAGTGCGAGCTTCGTTTCTCACACACCCAAGCTCAGTGCTGTTTCCTACCAGGTGCACTTCCTTTCTTTGGGAGGAAGTCGGCTCTTCCAGGGATGGAGGGCCTGCCAGGGTAGCAGGATGCCATCACTCTTCAGTCTAAAAGCGCTATGGGTTGTCCTTGATTTACAACCACAATTGGAACTGGAACTTCTGTCACTAAGTGATGCAGTTGATAAGTTAGTCTCACCCAGGTCCGGGCCTTTTTTTGCCGCAGTCATTAACCAATGAAGGGAATCGCCACTGTTATTGACCAAATATGTTAACAATTATTACATCAATTCAGCTTCCCCCAGTGACTTCGCTCATTGGAAGCCAGAAGGTTGCAAGTGGGGATGAACTGATCCTGCAATGTTGCAACAACTGCAAATACATGCCTGTTGCCAAGTGCCCAGTCATGTGACTGTGGGGATGATGCAACAGTTGTGAGTTTAAGTCCTTAGTAAGTTGTGAGTCTTACTCTAATAAGACCACACTTGGAATGCTGCAACTAGTTTTGGTCCCCATACTACTTAAAAGATGTTGAGACTTTGGAAAAAGTTCAGAAAAAAGCAACTAAGATGATCAAATGAAAGGAACTAGGAGAGCCGTGTTGGCTTGGATGCAACCTGGATTAACAAGAGCCATGTCAAATTACCTGAAGAGCAGCTAAGAGGATCAAAGGCCTGGAGACTAAACCATATGAAGAACGGCTACAGGAACTGGGTCTGGCTAGTCAAAAGCAAAAAAGAATTAGGGGCGACATGATACCAATATCCCAGTATTTGAGGGGCTGCCACAAAGAAGAGTTGGGGGTCAAATTATAATCCAAAGCACCAGAGGGCAAGACAAGAAACTATGGTTGGAAACCGATCAAAGAGAGAAGCAACCTGGAATTAAGGAGAAACTTCCTATAAGTGAGGAAAATTAACCAGTGGAACAGCTTGCCTCCAGAAATCATGGGCTCCCCATCGCTGGAGGTTTTTAAGAAGAGACTGGACAGTCACTTGTGTGAGATGGTGTAGGTTCTCCTGTAGGGGGCTGGACTAGAAGACCTCCAGCTTCTATTCTGTTCTGTTCTACATTCTGTTTCCTGTTCTGTTCCTTTCCTATTCCATTCCATTCCATTCGTCACTTTTTTGGTGCCATCATAACTGAACAGTCACTAAACAAATAATTGTAAGTTGAGGGCCACCTGTATTGACCAGATGTAAAATCTAAAGGTATAACTAAGGATAAAGTAGTGGGAGTGACATGAGGAGGAAATAACCTGTGGCTTTAGCATTCCTAGTCCAGACTACCAAGGGGAATATGGCTGAGTAGGAGGTCACATTTACAGGCCTGATAGAATTCTGATTTCCCTCCCAGGTGGTGGAAGGGCCGTCTGCTTCCTGGGATTCGCTCTCAAACATCCATCTGCTAGACGTTGCTGCAGTAGCAGAATCTGCAAATGGTGTCAGAGACCCCATTATGTGGAGCTTTTCTGGGAGCCGGGCTTCAAAAATCCCATCACATTGAATTTGCTGCAGTGGCCGACTCTGCCGATCAAGTCAGAAACCTTATTACATCAACTGGAGTTTGTCTGGAGGCCAAATGCAAAATGAAAAGTTCTTCTGAAGGACTCTGCAGTGTTGCAGTGTACGGTCAGAGGGAAAGGAAGAGTAAGGCCAAAATAAGACCACCTAAGATATAAAATAACGCACCAATAAGGGAAATAGAAGAGAACAAGACTGGAGGCTGAAACATATAAAGAATGGTTGCTGGAATTGGGTACGTCTAGTTTAATGAAAAGAAGGACCAGGGGGGACATGATAGCAGTGTTCCAATATCTCCGGGGCTGCCCCAAAGAAGAGTTGGGGGTCGAGCTATTCTCCAAAGTACAAGAAGGCAGGACAAGAAGCCACGGGTGGAAACCGGTCAAGGAGAAAAGCAACCTGGAACTAAGGAGGAATTTCCTAACAGGGAGAAGAACAATTATTCAGTGGCACGGCTTGTCTCCAGAAGTTATGAATTCTCCAGCACTGGACGTTTTTAAGAAGAGATTAGCAACCATTTGTCTGAAATGGCACAGGGTTTCCTGCCTAAGCAGGGGGCTGGACTAGAAGACCTCCAAGTTTCTTTCCTATTATATTATATTCTGTTCTGTTCTGTTCTGTTCTGCTCTATCCTATCCTATCCTATCCTATCCAATCCAATCCAATCCAATCCAATCCTATACTATCCCGTTATATTTATCTCCTATTCTATTCTGTTCTACTCTACTCTACTCTACTCTACTTACTCTGAAGGCATCTCCTCTCAAGGCTTTCCAGCATTCAGCTCAGTGTCTCTGACTGATACCTGACATCAGAGGGGGGGGGGACCCCATCTTAAGATTCTTGTGGTCCATGGAATCTGCAGCTTTTTGGTTCGACTAATTTGTGGTAATGACTGAAAAACCACCTAAAACATGTTTGCTTTTCAAGGAGATCCAGATTGCTTTTCTATCAACTCTCTTTCTGCTCCCCATGCAAACTATTGAGGAGCATTTCCCCCCTTCTCTCAACCAGCAGGTGAGTGTTGAACCAATACCCATGAACCAGGATGTCTTGATTTTTAGTTTATTAAGTGATTTGGAACAAAATGTGTTCAATCCCTCAGTTACAGTTATCTGATATCTTGACAAGGTCAACTCTCTGGGGAGGCTGCTCTCAGTCAGTGGCGCCACCTTAATGAGATTAACACCCATCACAACAATCAACAGATACACTTGTGGCACCTTTAATGCCAACAAATCCAGGCTGTCCTAAGCTTCCAATTAATCTTACACGGAGGCTTGTCTTCAGTTGTCATATCTGTATCCATCATTATAAAAACCTTGACAGCAGCTCCAAACTGATAAGATGGATGATATCGCAGCCTATATCATAACCCTAACTAATTTTACATTATGTCAGAATAAGATGCTTTTCTTCTTAGAAGGAACAGAGAAATGTTTGTTCAAGGTCTTGGGTCTTCCTGTCCCTCAGATGGTCAATGTCAGTGTTCCATCCAACAAACAAACTCCAACCCGATAAACTCCAAGACAAACATTTCCTCAAAGTTCCAATTTATTAGAGTTGTCATATTGACACATCTGGGAAAACCTGAATCTGAGAGTTCCGGGATTTCCCTTCCCAAAAGAGAAATCCAAGATCCATCCCCTGCACCCATCAATCTGTCACATGGCCCCATCAAACATCGTCCCAACTGGAGACCTTCCCCCAGATACTCCTCTCCAGGTGCAGGGTAACTTGTCCTTGACTCTCTGAGAAAGAATGTTGTTGAGTCTAATCTTCTACTCACTATGAAATCCCCCCTCCCACATTCCCAGGCGCTAAATGTGGCGGCCTCAAAGCTTCCAAGTAAAATATGGCTTCCAAGGCTGAGAGTCGCATCATTTGCACCAAGTCCAGTTCTAGGTTACCATCTCTAATACTTCTGATCAGTAGTGGGATCCTACCTGTTCCGCTACCAGTTCGGTGATGTGTGCGCACCTAACATGCGTGTGCAGCTTTTCCCACATCAGCTGAGGCCTCCAATCAGAGAGGATAAAGAAGAGAAAAGCGCAGGCGCGGGTGGGACGGCCGATCCTGCACTTTCCTCTTCTTTCTCCTCTCTGATTGGAGGCTTTTCCCCCTCCTCTCAGCCGAACGTAGGAGGCTTTATTTTACTACCGGTTTGGCTGAACCAGCCCGAACCGATAGCCATACCACCCCGGCTTCTGATCTGATGTTGCAGATTTTAAGTTCCCAAGAAGAACCCCAGCCCGTCTTCATGGGAAAGGACATTTGTTGGTCTGGATGTTTGTAGCACCAGGAGTCCTCAACTTACAAGCACAACTGAGCCCAACATTTATGTTGCTAAGGGAGACATTTGTTAAGTGAGTTTTGCCCCATTTTACAACTTTTCCTGCCACAGCTGTTAAGTAAATCATTGCAGTTGTTCAGTTAGTAACCTGGTCGTTACGTGAACCTGGCTTCCCCCATTGTTTGCAGAGGCCTATCACATGACCCTGGGGCATTGCAACCATCATAAATGTGGGTCCAGCACCCGAATGTAAATGAGCTGACCATGGGGATGCTGAAACATTCATAACTGTGAAAAACTGTCGTAAGTGACGGGGCAGAACCTGGGGGAAGCTGGCTGCCGGAATGTGCTGCAGCAGCTCCTCTTGGTTTTATTTTATTTTTATCAACTTTTAATACTCCCATTGGATCCTTTTTATTGAAATAATATTTTTGGGAGAAGATAACAGCGTAGACCACAACACAGACAAAAGTTTTTGTTTTGCTGAGGACTAACAAGGCACGGGGAAAAGAAAGACGCGCCATGGCACCAGCCCAGGATCTCTCCCACCAGTGAAGACTGCAAAATAACCAAGAATGGAGGAGCACTTTGCTGGCAAGAGATCTGTGAGTAAAATTAAAAATTAAGTTGTAAGTCACTTTTTTCCCAGTGTCGTAACTTCGAATGTTCATTCGCTAGGTGAACTTTTGTAAATCAAGGGCTACCTGTACTGGATTTTTGATTCCCTTGAAAATGCTGGAAATAAGATCATCCAGAATTATCATCCAGAATTAGGTCAACTGAAGCAGATGGCAAGTCACCTCCCTACTTGAGCACTCCTGAAATTTGCAAACCGCTGTTGGTTCACTGAACAAGGTTGTTGGCATTGGATTGCAATGCACCTTTGCTTGTGGTGTATTGGGAAAAAAAACCACACTCTTGTTTGCCTCTACACATAGCACAATCCTGATCTACTGGAATCCACCTATGGAGAACCCTTGAATAGGATTCGTAAACTTCCCTTTTTACTGTTATTGTCCTCTCTCTCTCTTCTGTTTGCCAAGCCCTTTCACTTTCACTTGCCTTGCATCCGCTTTTTGGCCGCTTTCTTTTAGGACTCCGGACTGACACTTGTAACAGCCTTATAAAAGTCTACGGCATTCCAATCCTCCTCTCTGCCGTTAATTTTCTCTGCCACACTCTTCCCCGATGATCTCACAAACTGTCACTCACTTGCTTCTTTACATCGGTGGCAGTCCGGACTGCGGAGCCGCCATTGATAGGAGGCTGTTTCTTGCTCGTTGGGCTCTGGAGGGCTCCTCTTCGCTGCAGGGGGGTTGCCTTCCCCACACTGCAACCCGAGTCTCCCCCACACCGGCACGAATCTCTCCGGGACTCATGCACCCTCAAAGGATCACGCCAACCACAAAAAGAGATTAACTGAAACCACAGATGGGCTTCTGCACCTCTGTTCGTCCTTGCCTTGCCACCGGAAGTCCTCAGCCCTTCCATTCCACAAATGTTTTCAAAGATAGTAACTAGGTGACTGAAGTTTCTGCTATGCAAAATTCTAACTGGAGAGCCTGATTGATGACTCTGGGCTATGGAGGTGTCCCATTGGAGAATATGAATTATGTTACACCCAGGGGGTGGAGGGGAAACCAGGGTCAAAGGTGACAATGAATGATTTGTCTCAGAGTCAGCTACACCCAGGCAGTGCCAGACATGTTAACTCCCAATAAATCCTTTTGAAGTTTTGGAAGTTTGGCTCGAGACTTATGATTTAATTGGGGGTAACTGCCGGAATCCTGACACCTTGGTTGGCCTACACTTACCACTGGGCCAGGTATTCCCCGAAGTCCATCTGGACCTGGCTTTCCTGGAGGTCCCTGAGGACCAACCGGACCTGATTTCCCAGGAGGTCCTTCCAATCCAGATTCACCCTAAAGAGAAGCAAGACGTTACAGGGAGAACATGGCCGAAACCAGAAATTCTGCTTTGTCTGGTAGCAGCTCAGTGGTTTTTTTTTACCTTGGCACCTTTCTCTCCTTGTCGGCCTTCAGGTCCTGCTGGTCCAGGTGGGCCCTAAAAAGATTGGGAGACACGGTGCAATTAGATTAAACCAGGAATGGGATTTCAAATTTCTTAACAACCAGTTCTGTGGGTGTGGCCTAATTTGAGGGTGTGGCTTGATGGTCATGTGACTGGGTGGGTGTGGCTTGCTGGCTGGGCATGGCTTGATGGTCACGTGACTGGCTGTGTGTGGCTTGTATCTAAATATTGTAAATATTTATGTAAATATTGAATTTTCTATAAAAAAAGAGCAACTTTTACCCAAAATCAGGCAAAGCAGGCAGGCAAATTGAGTTGCTTTCAGAATCACAGAATCACTCAGAGATCTACCTTTCTGCCATCTGCTACCTGAGTCTGCAGTGAAAAATAGAAGCTTCGGTCCTAAGGAAGGTTCAGCTCTGCTTTTAGATTAGCTAGAAAGCAAGAAATCCAACGATTTCCTGCTTTCTAGCTAAACTAAATTTCCCGGCACAGCTGGTAGTCGAAACAGCTGATGGTTGGGGGGAAGGAAAAATAGCAACTTACCAAAAATTAGGCAAAGGCACAGTGGAGGCAAGTTGGATGGTGTGCATACCAGGTAAGGAGTGAGTGAGTGAGTGGGGAGGGGAGAGGCCAGCCAGTGGCGCGATTTGCCGGTGCTCCAAACTGCGCAGAATTGTAACAACCGGTTCTATAGAACCAGTCCAACCAGGTAGAATCCCACCCCTGGATTAAACCCTGATGGTTGAAGCAACATCCTCTTGTATGAACGTCCTGCCAGGACTAACAACAGCTTGACTGAAGGAAGCCCCAACATCCATCTCCAGCATCAACCAAGATGTTCTGGCTCTTCAGATGTTCGGTCATTTAAAAACTTATCTTTCACAGTTATTTTTTTATTTCCAACATTTTTGTGGTTAAAAGAATATCTTCCTTAAATGTCAGGAGTTCTCTGAGATTCCCTCAGACAACAAATCCACAATTGCTTTTTGAATACAGAATATAGAGCAACAGAGTTGTAAGGGATCTTGGAGCATAACTGGCTGGAGAATTCTGGGCGTTGAAGTCCACAAGTCTGAAAGTTGCCAAGTTTGCAGACCTCTGGTCTGGACCATTCCAGACAAATGGCTGTCCAGTCTCTTTCTAAAGACTTAAAAACCTCCAGTGATGGAGCTTCTTCATCTGTTTTACTTGCATCTAACCTTCCTCTTAAATGGAGACAAGTTTCAAAGCAAACAACAGATGTTTAAGAATACATATATAACCTTGAAATGGGATCTATGGGATATCTGAAATCTGGCTGGAGGAGAACCAGAACAACCTGGAGGACCACACCCTGTTTCTGGTGGGGATGTGACTTCTCCAAAGCATCTGACAACTGTTCTCATCCTTGCTTTCCTGTTTTGCAAACGGGATGCAAACTAACATGTTCTTATGACAAGAAAGATCATCATTTTCTTCCTAAGAACAACATAAAATCTGCCTTTATATCATGCCAAGATTTCAAAGTATGTCAGAGATTTGTTGTTATGGTGATACATTATATTTTCAATTAATTGGTCCCTCTGATGTCCCTGCTGCTGTTTTCTTTGCAGACGTGCAGAATTTGGCCTCTGATGAATTGTTTGAAAGATTCATGCCTCCACACACCAATCCACCCTGATTGGCCCCAGTTTGCATCATGACACACGTCATTCGGCCGCGCCTCTTGAATGCTGGGATCAGTGACGTTTTCTGGCCTGTTTGGCTAAAAACTGGGAGATGAAAGACTGAAAAGGCAACTTACTCTCTTCCCTGGCGAGCCAGAAGGACCTGGCTCTCCAGTTGGACCAGGGGACCCCTGAGAACAAAAGGAGAGAAGAAACAAAACCATGTTTATCCTTAGAGCTCTAACACAAGAACCAACAGGATAGGCCAAACCCTGATTTGGTTACAGGTAGCCCTCAACCGAGTCCCAAATTTCTGCTGCTAACCAGGAGTTGTTAATGCAAGTGACCAGCTGCCTGCAAGGAGTGTAAATCCTTCCATTCTCCACTATCCTGTCAGAGCTGAAGAAGCTTCTTGGATGAGAAGTGAAACGTCTTCAAAGAAACAAAACCTTTGGGACAACCATGACCTGGAGGACGGAGAATCTCTACAGGCTTTTAGCTTTACAATTTGGGATGGACACCCTTGGAATGGGGTGGGAGGAGGAATGGATTTCCAAAGGAAAAAAATTTCAGACTACATGAACCAGAAGCACCACTCAGGTGACCCTGAGGATACAGATAAACCTCCAGATGGCCTTAACGACCCTCTAAAAGGATGCAAATGACCAGCTCTCTGCAAGGAGTATAGATCCTTCCAATCAGAGCTGAAGAAGCTTCTTGGATGAGAAGTGAAACATCTTCAAAAGGAAAAAAACAAGAAAGTCCAGTTGCCTCTTGAAAAAGCACCTTTGAGACAACCATGACCTGGAAGACGGAGAACTTCCACAGACAAGAGCTGTTAAGTGATTTTTGCCCCATTTTATGTCTATCATCAACCTGCTTCAGCCCAGCTTTGCTTTGCTTTGAGGGCAGCCTGTCATAAAACTGTGGGGAGGGGAGATCGGAGGGCATAGGGAGGGGGGATGATAGGAACCAGAGGTGCCAACTAGAGATTTTGAGAGATCCAAGGACGCTGCCTGGGAACAGAATACAAATGCCCACCAAAGAGGCACATGAATGTGGGACTGTTACCAAAACACCTAATTTGAACCTTACTGGACACCACCAAGATGACCACGGGGGTGGGGGAGAGCCTGGGAGAAGGTTACTGGGCTGACATGGGGAACCGTCGGATCTGGCTCTGCTACGCTGTAACCACTTGGCTTCAGTAAATGTCTACCTTTCAGTATGAATGGAATCAAGGGTCTTTCTTTCATGAGCACCTGAGCTGGGAGAAGCCTGACACTGTCCTTTTTATGAGGTCTTGGGGGTCACAATTTCAAAAGAAGCATCCTTAAATATCTTTCTGTCTCATGGGCTTCGTTACCATCTGGCCCATTGAATTCATCTTGGCATATGACTCTAGCTGGCCACCTACAGAGGATTTGCACAAGAAAATGGCTATTTCCGCACTTGCGGAAACAGAGAGCCATGCCACAGTGTCTTCTGCAGAGAAGCAGCAGGAGTACCAGCTAGGACATTTTTAAAAAAAAAGAAGAAAAGGGTACTTAGTCTCCAAATAAAGGCTTCTAGGCTGACACATTCCAGAAACACCAGTTGACCCCAGGTTCTGACTAATGGTTCCCCACCAGTCCTTAGCTCTCTCTTGATGGCCATCTCTACCCAGTCGCTAACTCATCCATATCATATTTTTTGGTACTAAACAAAGAGATTCATCCTTTGCCCCAAGAAATACATGCCACCTGCATCCAGTCAGGGTACTCACTGTTTGTCCAGGTTCCCCATCATCTCCCTTATCACCTGGTGGGCCATCCTGACCCTAGAAGAAAATAGAAAAGGAATTATTTACTTTCCCATTTTCTATTTCATGCCTTTTGAAGGCACGTTCCTGAGGAATTTCCTAATAAAGTGAAACTTATTAACGGTTAAATGCAAGAGATGACACAGAGAACAGAGAACACAGAGAAAAAAATGTGCAGACAGCAGGAACCAGGAGCACCACTCAGGTGACCCTGAGGACACAGATAAACCTCCAAATGGCCTCAACGACCCTCTCAAAGGACGCAAATGACCAGTTGTCTGCAAGGAGTATAAATCCTTCCATTCCCCACCATCCAGTCAGAGCTGAAGAAGCTTCTTGGGTGAGAAGCAAAACGTCCTCCAAGAAAAATCAAGAAAGTCCAGTTGCCTCCTAAAAAAGCACTTTGGGACACAGGAACTGTAAATATCTTATATATAATTTATTATATTTTAATATACTTGTGCGGCTTTGGGTCAGTGTTGACTCTTTGTGTCTGCCTAGACCAGGCCTTACAATTTTCTTGGCAAAAATTCAGAAGTGGTTTTGGCTGAGAAAGAGGGGCTGGCTCAGCCTCTGCCCCATCCCAGCTCCTTCATGCTTAGGGGAGGGTTAAAACTCAAGGTCTCATTCTCTACCTGGTGTCATAGCACCAAAATGGCTCTTGTAATGAAACAATACATGATGACTATATTAATATTCTCAATGAAATGTGGAGCACATGAGTATTATCTCTAACGGGTTCAATGTAAGGTCAAGATTTCAAAAGGTCTAATTTCCCTCTTGATTAAAAATTTCTAACATTCAATAATATCAGAGAAAAATGAAATCATTATAAAAAGAATAGACATACTAGATGATTACCATGATGACAGAACTATTTTTTAACAGATTAACAGAGTTGGAAGGGACCTTGTAGGTCATCTGGTCCAACCCACCACCCAAGCAGGAGACCCTACACCATTTCTGACCAATGGCCAGTCTCTTCTTGGAAGCTTCCAGTGATGAAGCTCCCACAACTTCCGAAGGCAACTTCTATTCCATGGTTTGATTGCTTTCCCTGTCAGGAAATTTCTCCTTATTTCCAGGTTGAATCTCTCCCTGTTTGGTTTCCATCAGTTGTTTCTTGCCCTACCCTCAGGTGCCTTGGAGAATAGCTTGACCCCCTCCTCCTCTCTGTGGCAGCCCCTCAAGTATTGGAAGATGCTCTCCTGTCTCCCCTGGTCCTTCTCTTCACTAGACTAGCCAGGCCCAGTTCCTGCAACTCTTCATCGTATGTTTTAGTCTCCAGTTCCCTAATCATCCTGGTTGCTCTTCTCTGCACTTTGCTTATCAGAAATAGGCTAAAGAAATAGGCCACAAAATGAAAAAAACATATATATGTGCCTTAGAAATACCGTGTTTCTCATATAATAAGGCCGGGTCTTATTTTTTTTTTGAGCCCCGAAAAAATGGCTAGGCCGTCTTTTTGGGGGTGACTTAATTCCCCTCCCCCCTTGCATCTTCGGGCAGGCGAGTGGCGACGGCTTGAATGTTGATCTCGGCGTTGGTGGGGCACTTTGTATCAGGGTCAACGCAGGCAGCACCATATCCGGGTGTGCAACAAAAGTACTTCCTAACAGCAAGCCCCCCTGCCATTTCCACCCCCCCCATTTCGCATGTTTTAATATAGGCCTTAATTTGGGGGGAGGGGCTTAATTTCATTTCATGCCTATAAAACATGCTGGGACTTCCTATTGGGGGAGGCCGTATTGTTGGAGAAACAGGGTATATACTTGAAATCTTAAGGAGAAATACAACATTTTAAATGTCCAAATTCCCTATTTCAATCCAAACTGAAATATTTCCAAAAGATCTGGAGAGCAGCTTTCTGGAATTTTCTTCCGGTGAAAATTCTTAGACATGTTTGAGAAGAAATAATATCCCTGTTTTCCATCTTGGTACTTACAGCTGGACCAGATTCACCTGGGGGCCCCGGATCACCTGGAAAGCCAACCGGACCCTGGAAAGATATGGAAAGAAAGAACATGAAATCTTACAAAGAAATGAGCAACAATCTTGGCCATACACTGACCATGATAGTTAGGTCAAGGGGGCTTTAGAAAATCCGTTCCCGTGAAATGGAACGATTCCATGATCTCAAGCGGAATAGTGAGAGTGAAGTTTGCAAGCCAAGCTCAGCCAAAAATGTATTCAAGGAAAAGATAGGAACAAAACTCTCCATTTTCTGAGGAGCTCCAGGAAAGGAAGGGAAGAAGAGATGCCTGGAGCCTCACTGGAGGAAAACGAAGAGAGAACCCAGTCAAGCACAGGTAAAACCCACATTAGGGACTACATCAGGGCAAAAAATGTTACTTCTATTTTTTGCATCTACCACTGGCCACTTGATGCCCCCTTCAAGGTGACCTGGTCCTTGCTTGGGAAGGAACAAGCCTCAGGATTCTTTGATGGAGCACTATCACCAATATCCTGTTATTTGTCTGATGGCCCCTCAACTTGGACCCTGCAATCAGAAGGTGCCTTGGAAGTCCCTGGGGAGCAAGTTTGAATGTGTGACTCTTAGGCAACCAGAGAGAGGGCTCTAGTCTATGAAGGCGGCCATCTGTTTTTGTTAGATCCTAGGTGGTTAATGCTGCCCAGGTGCTATTGAGTGGGGGTATTAGGGTCTTTGAGGGAGGCAATGGTCCCCTCAACCTTGAAGGAGCTACATGTAGTGCACCCTTTCCTCAAAATGACACAGACCCCGTGTTCATGGCCAATTATCACCCAATCTCAAATCTTCCTGCACGGATGTATGAGACTCCCAGCTTTATGCCATTTATGTCATAGTATCAACAGTAAAGACCTTCAAATTTCTAGGTCCTATCATATCACAAGACCAAAAATGGACACCTAAAAATCAAAAATGTCATCAAAAAAGCACAACAAAAAATGTTCTTTCTGTGCCAACTCAGGAAGCTCAAACTGCCCAAGGAGCTGCCGATCCAGTTCTACAGAGGAAGGATTGAGTCTGTCATCTGCACCTCTATCACTGTCTGGTTTGGCTCTGCAACCCAACAGGACAGACACAGACTCCAGAGAGTAATTAGGACTGCAGAAAAAGTAATTGCTACCAACCTGCCTTCCATGGAGGACCCGCATACCGCACGAGTCAAAAAGAGGACTGTGAAAATATCTACAGACCCCTCACATCCCGGACAGAAACTGTTTCAACTCCTTCCCTCAAAACGATGCTATAGAGCACTGCACACCAGAACAACTAGACACAAGGACAGTTTTTCCCCGAACACCATCACTCTGCTAAACAACTAATTCTCACAACACTGTCCAACTATTTATTAAGTCTGCATTACTATTACTATTAATCCTCCCATCCTTCCTTTCACCCATCTCACTTATGACTATATGACTGTAACCTTGTTGTTTTGTATCCTAATGATTTTTATTGACTGTTTCCTAGTATGAGTTGATTGCATATTGTACCCTATGACTATCATTAAGTGTTGTACCTGATGATTCTTGACTCTTGTCGAATGTTCTTTTCTTTTATGTATACTCAAAGCATTTGCACCGACAAATTCCTTGTGTGTCCAATCATACTTGGCCAATAAAGAATTTTTTTCCTTCTTTTTTTCTTTTCTTATTTGTTTAGAATAGAATAGAATAGAATAGAATAGAATAGAATAGAATAGAATAGAATAGAATAGAAGTGTGAGTGGACACATAAGGAATTTGTCTTCAGTGCATAAGATTGTACATAAAAGCTGTAAGTGATAAATCATGATCATGGTCATCATAAATTTTTTAAAAAGCTTACTTATTTTATTTATTTTCTGCCCGTTTCACCTCAAAGGGTTTTGTTGAAAACTTAAGTTATTCACCCAGGCTTTGGGGACAGAGTGACTGAGGAGCCCACTTTTTGGTTTTCTTTTTCCTTGGCTTGGCTTTTATTTATTAATTAAATTTATTTCTGGCCCATCTCACTGCAAGGCGCTTTGTATTTTGCTCTTTGGGTCTCTTGGATTTTCCTTTCCATGAGTTGTTTTTTAAATGTAAGCTGCTCAGAATTGTTTAGGAGTTGGGCAGCCTATTATTTATAACAACAATAATAAACTTGTTACATAAATTTAAAAAGGCCCAAGGAAGCAAGTTCCTGATCTCCCCCCACCTCCTCTGGATGTCTTCCGGAAGAGCCCTGTGAAAAGGGGGGGTCGCTGTAGGGAAGGAAAGACAGCTGGGCGGCTGCCCCGATGGCAGAGAGAGGCCCTTATAGTCTGCCCCAGAGTCAGTCTGAAGAAGCAGGGGAGAACCAAGGCCTAGGTAGCATCAAGGACTCTCAAGGAACAGGAGAAAAGCCACGAAGTCCATACACTCTCTGGAGAGAACAGTGGGGCAAGCAGGCATCCTAAGGGTATCCCCTTCCAGAAGCGGGCAAAACAGAGGAGGGGGTTACTCACCGGGCTCCCTTTGGGACCATCATCTCCTGGGGGACCTTTGGGGCCTGGGGGTCCAGCAGTCCCAGAGGGGCCTGCTTCCCCCTTTTCCCCTCTCTCTCCTTTAGGGCCCTGTCAAAGGAAGATGCTTGTTAGAAGGTTTGAGTTGTTTCAGCAACGGATTAGGTCACAGGGACAAAAACTGATCGGCACTTAAGAGGAAATCAAACAAATGACCAGCGTTTGTTCATTTTCTGATGCTCAATCAGCATCCCACCAAGACACAGATGTCTCTTCCACTGCTGTCTCTTCGTGGGATACACAAGAATCGGAACAACAGAGTTGGAAGGGAGATCTTCTGTTTTATTTTTGTTTGATTGTTTGTCAAACATGTACAAGAGAACAAGTGTAGGTATGAACATAAACAGGAACAAAGGAAGTAAATACAGATAAATGGGGACAGTAGGACAGGGACGGTAGGCACGCTGGTGCGCTTATGGACGCCCCCTTTGAGGACCTCTTAGGAATGGGCTGAGGAGGTCCACGGTGGACAGTTTGAGAGTCCAACCCCCTGCTCATACAGCAGACCCTTTACTGGGGTGGTCAACAGGGGTGGGATTCAAGTTTTTTAACAACCGGTTCTGTGGCCATGGCTTAGGTGGTGAGTGTGGCTTGGTGGTCATGTGACTGGATGGCCATGGGTTGGTGGTCATGTTATTGGCTGGGCGTGGCCAACTCTATATCACTCACATCGAGGCATGCATCTCCTCTCCTGGCCTCTCATGACTGTGGGGATGCTGCAACAGTCGTAAGTGTGAAAAATGGTCATAAGTCATTTTTTCAGTGCCATTGTAACTTTGAATGGTCACTCCACACAAGCAAAGTACCAGCAAAGGAGGGGGGGGGAAAAACTCCAGAGAAGTTCCTGAGACAGGAAGTCTAGTCCTGCCAAGAATGTAACAAGGGTTAACGGAGAGGCAGTTTCTGTAAGCAACACCAGAATGTTTCCTTCCTGCCTTCCTTACAGGATTAGGCCAGTAATTTCTTCTAACAACTGGTTCTCCGAACTGTTTAGAACGTTAACAATTGGTTCTAGCGAATAGGTGCGAACTGGTAGAAGCCCACCTCTGGGTGTCAAACTCAAGGCCCATGGGCCAGATCCAACCCGCAATGTGGCTGTCCTAGTCTACTCAGTGCAAAGAGGAAAGATCAGACCAGTGTGGCTTTGGCCCGGTCTACCCAATGCAAAGAGGGAACATGCCAGCAGTTTGGGGACTGGCGTCAAGTTGGCCACACCCAACCAATGAGATGGCCATGCCCACCAGCCCCCCGAGGTCAACCACAGCCCTGATGCGGCCCTCAATGAAATTGAGTTTGACACCCCTGCCCTCTACCATTCCAGACAGGTGGCTGTCCAGGCTCTTGTCAAAAGCCTCCGGTGATGGAGTGGCCACAACTTCTCAAGGCAACCACAACTGTGAAGGAATCACAGTTATCCGCTGGAGAACCATTTCTATCACACTTTTGGCAGAGCTACGTGAAGTTTTGGGTATACAAATTGTGACATGTAAAAATTACATATTAAGGATTATACCTGTGAAAATGAGAAACAAAAAGTAACGCCATATTTATCCTATTAATGACCTATGGCAATATTACTGGAATATTGCATAATCATAAAAGCAAGGTTGTTTGTGTTCTGTAAAAATGTGAAATTTCTGGCTTGAACATGAAAATGTCAAACCTTTTGCAGAGATATGTGCAAAATTGTTGGTGGGTCACTTTGACCTGACAGGACTGTATAATAGGCTATTGTCTTGTTTGCTAAAATTGAGAAATGCCGATGTTCCTAAGAGGAAAAGAGAAGTCATGAGAAGGGGGTTTCCAGGACATCAGATAAGTAGGTGGTGTTTAGTGGGAAAGTACCAGTGGTGCTTACCCAGAGAGAGTCCAAGTGTGTTTTTGTCTCACAAATACTTGGAAGAGTTATACGTGGTTTCCCATTCGCACCATAAAAATAAAATGGATTTTCCTTGCATGATCCTTGTAAGACAAAGTGAACACCGGGAGGGAATGCAGTTGTGAGGCTGGGTTCTTATTTTCTCAAAGGAGCCCACTTCCTACACTGGAATGTGGTGAGTTGTGTCTTTTTGACTTCTCCTACCTTGATTAAGCATCTGGCTTCTGTGGGGGTGGATTTCAAGGGACCAACTGTAGGAAACTGGTCCAATGAATAGATAAGTTGGTGAATTGTGGATATGCAGAAGAATTAGGGGTCTGAAAGACAGCTGAGATGGGAGCAAGCACAACAGCGGTGGTGAATCATCTTGTCAATCCATCTAGTACAAGGGTCCTCAAACTGGGCAACTTGTGGACTTCTGGGAGTTGAAATCCACAAGTCTTAAAGTTGCCAAGCTTGGAGACCTCTGATCTAGTAGAATATTACTCCGGAAGAGATTATTGATGGGAGGGTCAGAAAAAGGGACAGAACTGGAAACAGTGTCATAAACTCCATTTTGGAAATCTTTGCCTGAGGCTTTCTAACCATTCCTGAGTACCAATCTGATTCCATTTCATCGCAATTCCAGACGGATGCTTTTTTTAAAAAAAGGTTTTAAAACTTACTGGTAGTCCAGAGTCTCCGGGAAGTCCAGGTTCTCCTGATTCTCCAGGTTCTCCCTGCCAAAGACAAGACAACGGAGGTGCTAGAGCCACAGTAACACAGTGGTCAGAGGGCAGGACTGCAAGCTGCTTCTGCTGACTGACTGCAATTGGGCAGTTTGAATCTCAGCAGGCTCAAGGTGGACTCAGCCTTCCGTCCTTCTGAGGTGGGTAAAATGAGGACTCAGATTGTTGGGGGCAAGTGTTCTGTCCCAGGTCCCCAAAGATGACAAACCTCTGAAGTGACCTCAAAAGATTCCTTTATTAGGGGCGCCGGCAGCCCCGCAAAAAAATTATCTCGCAAGGTAACAAGTCCAGCCGGCTGGAAGATAAATAGTTGTCTGTCACACCTATTCATCTCCGTCCCCTGCCTTTTATCCCCAGAGGTAAGGTAGGGCCTCGCTAGCAGCGGTGGCTTTTCTGTCCCCAAGGACCGGCCCATAGATTTCCACTGCTCTCCTCTCCTCTGCCTTCTGCGCAGCCGCGCATCAGGCACTGGACCCAGCAGTTTCTCCTCTTCCTCATCAGCCCCCTCCAGACCTGGGCGCTGTTGACTCTCTATCTGAGGGCTGACGGATGGCCCAGGCTCTGCCTCCGTCTCTCTCTCTCTCTCTCTCTCAGCCAGAGGCCTCCCCCCACAACTGGATCTTGCTGCCCCCCTTTCTTAACTGCAGTGTTTTAATGCTCTGTCTTCCCCTTCCAAGATTCCCCTGCAAAATGGCGTTACCTTTTCACCAACGGCTCCTGGATTTCCAATCCCTCCTGTAGGACCTTGTGGCCCATCAGCTCCGGGGGGTCCCCCTGGGCCCCTGGGCCCGGGGGGGCCTGGAGGACCCTGGAGAAGGGAGAGAAAATAATCTTTCAGTTGACGGAAAGACGAAGCTTTTGTACAAAACAGGGGTCCCCGAAATTGGCAACTTTAAGACTTGTGGGCCTCAACTCCCAGAATTCTCCAGCCAGCATAGTTGCCAAGTTTGGAGACCTCTGGTCCAAAACATACACAGTAACATTAACATCTGAGAGAAAATAATTTACTTTATTACCATTTGGCCAACGTCCCCAGTTTCTCCCTTGTCACCTGGAGGTCCAGGTAAGCCCTGTGGAAAGAATTAGAAAGGGTGTGTGTGTGTTTTGCTTTAGCCTTTGAAAAGATAAAACATTTTACTTGAAGAGATAAAGTGAAGGCAAGCTTGCACTGGCAAATACTACGGCTGTGTTTATGCAACACATCTCACAAACCCATGCAATCCACATGATGTGAGAAGCCAGGTGATACAACCAACCATCACAGGAGTTCTCTGCTGTTGACAGGCAGGATGACAAGAAGTGCTTGATGCTGATCAGCTCTCCAATGAGACCAAAGTGATGCCCATTTCCTCACCTGGCTAAAAGATAGAGAGCTCCCAATCCCCCTTTGATAATTCTGTGGGCCAAATATTATCCTGGAACCTCTATGACGGCCTCTGTGCTCCAGTTCATTGCTTGTGCCAGTTGTGTGGAAGGGCTTGGCCTTTGTTTTCTACAAGTTGTGGCTATCAAACTTATCCAATTAAACTTTGCCATCTTTTTGCAAATTCTACATTTGATCCTAGCTAAAAAGGCTAAAAAGCAGTCTCCTTTTAATATTGCCGTGTTTTACTTAATACTCGGCAAAATCTGGCAGGACCTTGCTAGAAACAATTAGATTTATATTTTTAATTGACCTTTATTTTCTTCATTTTACTTTTAATTGTACTTTATAGCATTCACCACTGAGTGGTGACAGAACTGCAGGCTACTTCTGCTGACTGCTGGCTGCCTGCAATTTGGCAATCCAAATCTCACCAGGCTCAAGGTTGACTCAGCTTTTCATCCTTCCAAGGTGGTAAAATGAGGACTCAGATTGTTGGGGCAAGAGGCTGACTCTGTAAACCACTTAGAGAGGGCTGGAAAGCACTGGAAAGCTGTATATAAGTCTAAGGGCTATTGCGATCTATCTATCTATCTATCTATCTATCTATCTATCTATCTATCTATC